CGCCGAGCCTGTGTACACCGAGGACGTCGACGCCGCGCGCCTGGGTTCGCACTGGAGCAAGGACTCCACCTCCGACATCGTTTTTGCCTCCCAATCCCTCTACCAGGACTCGTCCTACGGCGCTCCCTGGTCCTACCCTTCAACGTGGGCCTACGAGACGGCTGGCATCTCCTCAGATTCGGACGAGGAACACATGGACTTCTTTGAAAGGAGAATGCGCACACCCGACCTCACCGAATCTCCCGCCTCGTCGCTGCCCACCACGCCCAACAGCCTCGACACCTCCTTCGACTGCAAGATCGCAAAGCCCGAGCCGCGCTCTGGGCTGATGATCAACACGAACATCCCCCGCCCCCGTATTTATGAAGCCAACACCAGCATCACCTCTTTTTCGCCTTCGACCTCGATAATGCACACCGCTATCGAGGAGCCTTACAACGTGCTCTTCTCCGCCAGCCCAGTCTCGCCAGGAAAACGCGTATTTATGTCTGATTCCGCCATCACCGCCGTCGACGACGAGGAGATGACCTCTCCTTCCCTCTGGTCGTCAACCTCCGCGACCGAGATGTCTTCTCCCTCGAGCTACTCCGACTCCTCCGCCACGAGCTCCTTCCACGGCGAGGACTTCTTCCAGCGCTCGTCGACACCGTCCCCCGAACCCGAACCCCTCGCTCTATGGGCGCAATACCAGTTACAGGTGCAGTCGCCACCTCAACAATGTCAGCTTTCTTCGTCCGTCTCGACTTCAATAACCGACGTTCTTCCCCATTCAAGGCTCTCCAACTCCCTCTTCGGCAGCAAAAGGCACTCTGACCCCGTCAGCGCCAGCCCTCGCACCCCCACCCCCGCGCGTGGCGTCTCTCCCTCGACCTCCAGTAGCAGCGTCACCGGCAAGTCTTCGACGCTCAGCCGCTTCGCGATCAAGTTCTTCCCTCGGTCGGCATCACCGTCGCCTGCACCGGCTTCACCAGCTGCGGCGGTTCCACATGGACGCGCTCCAGCTGAACCACCTCGTCCATCCACTGCGCGCCGTCAAGCGCCTCCTCCGGCAGCTGAATCGCCTGCCTGGAGTCCGCAACAGGTGGTCGTTCCAGCCCAGACCCGACTTGTTTTTCAGGAAAGCGATACCGCCGCCTCGACCGGACACGCCACTCCCGTTTTCGACAAGAACAGCCATCGTCATCTCCAGGAGCAGCAGCAGCATCGGTCGCCCCGCCACTGGTTCATGCCGGGAAGGTTTCGGGTCTCTGGTGGCGTGAATTGATCTTCCTTCTCGCTTACTTCGTTCTTCTCTTCCTTTACTCGATAGAGTTTTGAGCCTCACCGTTCGTTATCTCTTGGTCTCTTTTTCTCTTTTTATCTCAACAACAGCATATCATTTTCACCGCATACTACACTCACGGCATCCCCGCATATATCACTCGTCTCATGATCTTTACGCAATAACGAGCATCGACACCAGCATTTTATGTATGTATTCCTTTCGCATTTACACCATTGGAGGGGCCGTTTTAGCGCTTACCCTGTTCACAATCTTTCTTCGCATCTTTTCTCTCCTCTGTTGTATTATTACCCCACTTGTGTACCAGTCAATGTTCGTACCAGCAACGTGGAAATGGAATCGCAATTAAACCGCGGCCAGCCTGTGTGTTCTCCTCTTGTGTTCAACGCATGCAAGTGCGAAGGCGTTCTATATAACCATTTTTTGATCTACTTGACGAGGTCAATCACGGTCTAGACCCACAGCGCGTGTCGAAGGAAGGCTCTTTGTCCAATCTCTGTCATTGCCCACCTCATGTCGGAGTCTTAGAAGAGCAATCCGTTGCAATGAAAACCGCGGAAAGCAGCCTAGATCTTGCGAATGTCATTCAACCAGGAGTAAATGGTGGGTCACTACTTCCACTTCTGTGATGCCGCGGAAAAGTGGTCGAAGATTTGACGGCGCTGCGCCAGTGCTCAGGCAATCGGCATGCCTCTCTCTCGAAATTCAATGCAGTTCCAAAAGTATCGCCTTCCTCAATCTCGCCTCATGAAATACTAATACAAACACTTATCGCGTGTAATCCGCAAGGAACTTGGAAACCACCAGTAGACGTCTTCACAAACCTTCAATTCCTGGCACTCCACTCATCCACGCGAGTGAGCGTAGGGCAGCCCTTGCTGGGAGGCGAGGAGAACCGGGTTTCGACGAATACCTTCTCGACGCCACTTTGCCGCTTATCGAACGCGGCGTAGAGCTTGGGCATATCCTCAAGCGGCACGCGGTGCGTGAGGACCCTAGTAGAGACGAAAATGAGGCTTCCCCGCTCTTCAAGCGAAGGACGCCATGCACGCACAAAGTAGGATCGAATTTCCCGGTCATGATGTAGTCGTGCAAGATTTCTTTCCAATAGAGGTGGACCGGCGCTTGCCCATTTCCGGTCAACCTTCACAGGAAGAAAACATGACATCGTCAGTAATTGCATGAGCGGCTCCAAGGCGAACGACTTACCGGATTCCCTTCTCCATCAACGCTCCGACGTTGACGCCGTTCGCAAACCCTGCATAAGCTGCGATGAGACCAATCTTGCCCTGCTTCCTGACAGCCAGAAGCATTTCGTTTAGGGTCTCGGGAGAATCGGTTTCGAGCATCATCAATTTTTGGACCTTATGGGTAATGGTTTTTGGCTCATGGAAAGTCCCTATGAGCGTGATTAGATAGTATACAGCTTAGAAAGATGGAAACATATGTGCCTACCGCAATCAATACCGACGTCAATTCCACCGGGGACGAGGTCGGCGAGCCGCTTAGGGACATCGGAATATTGAGAGAAGTCGAGGGTTTCGATGCCCAATTTATTCTTCGCCATGGCCAGACGCTCAGATACCCTGTCGATGCCGATGACGCGAGAGGCGCCCTTTAGCTGACACCATCGTGCAGCGCATAGTCCAATCGGCCCCAGTCCCTAGAAGTTATACCATTAATATGCGAAATTTGCTGGGAGAATAGTAACCGTACCCAAATTCCGACCACTTCCCCCTTTTCGACGCCGGTATCAACGACCGCATGATAGCTAGTAGGGATGATATCGGACAGATAAAGTGCTTGTTCGTCGGTAACTTCATCTGGAACGGGGAGGAGGTTGACCTCCCCTTTTGGCACACGAACGAACTCTGCTTGGCCGCCAGGAAAGCCACCTGTGAAATGAGAGTATCCAAAGAATCCGGCGTCACGATGGCCGTACATGACGTTCTGGAGGCTATTCAAGGATGAGAGGTGTTGCGCTTCAGGTTGGCCGGTTCACTTACGAGGAGTTGTTCGTTCTGTCGCAGAAAGATGACAACTTCCTTTGGCAATAACTGCATTTGCCGCAAGCGATTTGGAAAGAGGCCACAACGCGTTGCCCGGGTTGAAGATGCAAAACTCCGGGGCCGACTTTGTCAATTACGCCCATAAACTGTGTTCAAACGTAAATCACAAGAGTTTGGAACAGGGAAGATGAAAGCTCACTTCATGGCCAAGAATGTCGCCCTTCTGCATCGTCATAATTTCTCCATGATACCTGGAGAGGCAGCACTCGATAAGCAACCTCGAGTCTTCATTTCTACAGGAAACGCACAAGTGGAGGTCAGAACCGCAAATCGTTGTTCCAGTAACTTTCAGGATGACGTCTTCCGGTTCGGTGATATCTGGGACGGGAGCGTCGACCATCCGAACGTCCTTGTTGCCGAACCAGGCGAGAGCCCGCATTTTTGAGCCGTCAGACGCTGGGGTGTACTCCGGTTTAACATCCGTTTTCACAGGCCCGAGATACTGAGAGGGGATTCATCATTAGTGCATTGTTTCGTGTATCAGATTCAGGGCGACACTCACATTCTGATATGCGTTGCCTGCGGCTTGCATTTTGACGATATAATGGATGACAGTAAGGGAAAATAAACACCTAAAGTTTAGAAGGGCGAGAGTCTTATATGCCCACAGGGATGACGTCATTAGTCTTGTCGCGAAAGGATCCACCTACTCCTAAGAGGAGCGTACACAGTCTCTTAGGAGCTGTCTATGTTTGTCTAGAGGCCAATAAATGTACCGATGGAGACATACCTCAGATATGACATCGCTGACATGGCAGCGAGCGAAAAGAATTGCCAGGCCAAGCATCATCACGGCTGCAGCCAATTTTCAGTTTCAAGAAGGTCTGATCGGTGTGGCAGAAAGACATTGGATAGTAGAGCTTTGGAGTCTTGCAAGCTTGGCGTGGAAGAGGGGAAGAGGCATACGAGGTGCGAAAAGAAACTGCCAGTTACGGCCCGGCACATCAGGTACCGACATAGTCTTCAAACGCGATGGACAGTCATCTCTGCGCGAGACGACTGCTGCTTTGCAGAACGCATCCTCCGACGAAATTTCCCAGTCTACTTATACCGCCTATATTCGATTCCTGATCATCAGCAATGGGCTTCGAATTTTGGCACAAATTATTCGGTCAAATTAGGTGCCAGGTATGTAGCATAATGTCCGCCTGCTATTGATACATAATCTGAAGCCTGTGTTGATACCAGAAAAGTCACCAAAGATACCAAATGTAAAATCCCAGTAGTCCAACCATACGAAGGGAATCTAGTCGAGGTCATTGATCGAGCGCTCCCTGAAAGAGATGTAAATAAACAAAGAATATGGCTCCAGATAAAAGAGAAACTTACGAGATAACACCCTCAATGAATTCACGACTGGCAACGGATTCGACAGCGTCCTTGATGGAGCCAAAGATGGGCTCACGCGCGAGGATCTCGTCGATCTCAGCGTCGGTGAGTTCGCGACCGAAGATCTTGCCAACCGCCTTGCCAATGAATCCCAAGAAGGGCTCGCGGGCAACGAGCTCCTGAACCTGGTCATCGGAAAGCTCGCGACCACCGAAAATCTTTCCAACAGCCTTGCCAATGAAGCCAAGGAAGGGCTCGCGAGCCTCGAGTTGCTCCTCAGACAACTCGCGACCGCCGAAGATCTTGCCGACAGCCTTTCCGATGAAACCAAGGAAAGGATCGCGGGCCTCGAGCTGCTCCTCCGAAAGCTCGCGGCTACCGAAAATCTTGCCGACAGCCTTGCCAATGAAGCCGAGGAAGGGTTCGCGCGCGAGGAGATCGTCAACCTCGCTGTCGGTGAGTTCGCGTCCGAAAATCTTGCCAACGGCCTTGCCGATGAATCCGAGGAATGGTTCACGGGCAGCGATCTCCTGGACCTCCTCGTCGGAAAGGTCACGGCCAAAAATCTTGCCGACGGCCTTGCCAATGAAGCCTAGGAATGGCTCGCGTGCGGAGATGTCGACCACCTCCTCGTCCGAAAATTCACGGCCGAAAATCTTGGAAACAGCCTTGCCAATGAAACCAAGGAAGGGGTCGCGGGCCTCGAGTTGCTGTTGGGAGAGCTCGCGGCCGCCAAAGATCTTGCCAACGGCCTTTCCGATGAAGCCGAGGAATGGCTCACGGGCGAGGAGCTCGTCGACCTCAGAGTCGTTGAGATCACGGCCAAAGATCTTGCCGACAGCCTTGCCGATGAAGCCCAAAAACGGCTCGCGGGCGACGAGCTCCTGGACTTGGTCGTCGGAGAGTTCACGACCACCGAAGATTTTGCCAACGGCTTTGCCGATGAAGCCAAGGAAGGGTTCCCGAGCAGAGATGTCGAGGACCTCATCATCCGAGAATTCACGACCGAAGATTTTGCCGACAGCCTTTCCGATGAAACCGAGGAAGGGTTCCCGTGCTTCAGAGCCAGAAGTCTCACGACTGTGAAACCAATAAGAATTAGTCGTCGTCGTCAAGCTGGTGGCTCCCTCGAACTCACGTCAGGAATTGCAGCAAATCTTCAACCTCTCGCGCTTCGAGATCACTAACGTCACGCCTAGAGAGAGGATCAGTTGATTGCAGATCTGGAGAGAACAAGAACCGCACGCTAAGAGTTCAGAAATGTCATCATATTCTCGCTGCTCCAACCCTTGGTACTCTCGGACCTCGAGGTCGTTGATATCACGGCTAAAAATAGGCGCTTAAGGGTCCTGTCTTAGAAAGAAAGCGGGCGCTACTTACGTGGCGAGCTCATTAGTTGGAACGATAGGTGCGGTAAGGGCTGGGGCTGCAGCCAAGATGACGAGGAGGAGAGAAGCGGAGATTTGAACCATTGTGAGTCGTTGAACTGAACAATAAAAGGGAGTGTTGTGTTAATTTGTTAAACTGGGAGACTGCGATCAACGCAAGACCCGCTTCGTTTGGTCGAGGATGGGAAAGAGACCTGCTCTGGGGAGCAGAAGGCAACTCGGGGCTTAGGTTTATATAGATGCCCATATACGCTCAAACGCCCCACGAAACCCGAAACCCGAACGACAAGGGAGATTGTGGAGGTGGCTGGAACGTAAGTTAGGCCATCCCTAGATCATCACACCATCTGAACGTACAGGCAGTGCCATCCCAAGGTGTTGCTCGGTTCCTTCGCCCTTCCACTACATAGTTCGGCGCCTGATCGATTCAAGCCTAGTTCGAGCTGAATCGGTCGGCGCGGATCCATGGATATTCTCCAAATGTTCGTTCCTTGCAGTCATGAGTACCCGGTGATTTTGATTTCGGGAGAAATCTGGAGATAAATGGAAGGCAGCACGTTCATTATGTTTCGCTTGGTTCTTTGCGCCTCAGTACCATATAAAGTAACTTGAAACAATGCCAACATTTCTGTTAGCCCTCAATTAGTAGGATGGTTGAGGCTCTTTCTAGTATAAGCAGATAGGCCTTTTCAGAGGGGATTGATTTATTGCGAAGAGGGCTGCTTCAGTACAGAGCTGAGCTCACAGGACTGTCACTTACAGAGCAAAAGTCCTGATGGGAAAGTTGACGCCACATTCACATGAGATTCCAGATCCTTCTTGTCGCACAGTTGATGAAAAGAAGCATCGTCCGGTCTCACTCTGGCAGCCAGCGCCCAGAAGTGAACAGTATCAGTCCTAGGTGACCAGTTGGTATCAATTGATTGAACGGCTTGATAGGCTTTTTCTCAACTGACCGTCAGAATGCTAGTGGAAGAAAACGTGATGCGGAAACACTGCCCGTGCTATTTGGAGGACAAAACGGGCGGTTGGTCCCTCATGGGAATGGAAACGGAACGTAAGCCCCCCATACCCGAGTTGTCAAATGGCGAATTCAATAGCGGGGACAGAGAGCGCATCAAACTTGGTGACATCTTCCGTCATGTTCGCACCCGCATGGCAGAAAACGACGACGGTGTCTGCTCAACCCCTCTCTTTCAGTGCCGGATGGGAAACTAAATAGCAGCCTGTAGAGTTTTGAGGCCACATTTGGCCTTGATTCCCAAAGGGGACCAGCTGGGGCAAGTGTTTCAAGGATTGGCGTTTATCTGAGATGTGGTTGGCTGGTTTGACGATGCTGAAGGGATCGATTGATCCGAGGTGGAAGGTGCCCCAAAAAGGAGTAAAAAAGTACATTTGAGGACGAAATGGGCTTGTCGGCTGGGCATGCGTTTGACGTTGAATGTGATGCGAGAAAGAAACCGCCAGCCTCGTATATACAGGGTGTGCCATTTGGTTCAACAAATAGAGGAGAGGTGTGAAGACTCCCTGTGAGTCGGGAGTGATGGGGTTGGGATTCCAGAGTCAGTAGGAGAGAAAGAAGCGGCGAGCGCCGTGTTTGGCCCCGAATCCATCACGTTCAGCAATTTCTCGCAGCGAGATTGCTTCCGATGAACGCTGATTTTGCGCGCCTTAGGAATTAATTCCTGCATCAAGGCCGATGTCTGACCTGTACGCATCTGATGCCTCGGGAGAAGGCCTCGTTTATCACGGTTGGCTGTGTTGTGAGATAGGACGATGTAATTTAGTGGATTATGTTTGAATTACTTTCGAAAACTAGACGCTTACCTGTATGGAAGCCCTTGATGAAAAGCAATGGTCGGATCTGATGGCGGGAGGAAGCACGTCATTCTCGGACCGCCGAGGGGGATTGGGTGCTGGTGCGATACCCTCAACGAAAGTCCAAAGCAGCAGGCTGCAAGTGTACAATATCATTATGTCTCAGACCAGTTCAGGTCGGGCTTCAAGGTCCTGTTCTGTCGGACGGTTTTCAGGACTTTTCAAAGTGGTAGATCTACGTCAAGTAGATAAGAATAGACAAATGATCAGCCCATCACATAAAAGAAGGCTGTTTCGAAGGACCGACCTCTTTAAAAACAGTCGCGTTGCTCGTTTGATGTTGTCGGCAGGCCCCTCCTTCTCATCGATGCATCGTTGATTGACGAACAATCGCAATTCACCCGTCTCAACGCCTGACCGCCCTCGAGAGGCGTATACACCTTTCATTGAAGCCGTCTCGAATACCCCATGGACGCTGAACAGGACAACCCTCCGGCGGGTGTAGCGACCGCATCGCCCGAGACGCTATGTAGACGCTGCCGATGTGCTCGTCAGCGTCTTCCTGCGGGCATCTTCACTGTGTGGACCCTGCCTCTATAGTGCGAGATGACCGTTGGCGTAGGTGCGTTGTAGCATCTGGGAGTTGAACCGACAGCGGTTGCGGGCAACAAGAGTCATTGGAAACCGCAAGGAGGACAACGTCTGGGTAATCCAACCAGGTCATGACTGTCGTACCCAGTTGGACCGCCTGCTCGCGTTATGTTGACAGTCCATTGTGTCGGTGGTCGGATGACTTGTCTTTATGGGGCGGAGTAACGGCGGCTTTCAAGAGGGCATGTCTTCCAGAATCTCCCAGTCCTGCTGGCGATTACTCTTCTAGTGAGATTGGATAAGAGAGGATGCGGAGTCGGCCCGAAAGTGGGTGAAAGGCGTAAAGAGATTTATAGCTGCACTTGTGAAGGTCCCAACCCTTCCGAAGTTCTCCAGTGGGATACCCGACGTCGAGCCAGGAAGCCACTATCCTGACGTCAGTTCCGTACACATGAGAACAGAAAAGGACCAGTCACCAATGAAAACATATAGGGGATGCTCTCCAGGGAGAGATCGACATCGTTGGACGACACTCGGAGTAGCAGCCTGCTTGGCCAAGGTGATGGCCACTGGCCACTGCTGGGCGATTACGCCACATCAAGGAATGTCCACTTGGGGTATTTCCCTGGGCGGGCAGAGGAGGATAGATTCGATAAAGAAGGCTAAACAAATAAGGAGACGAGAGCCTGGAGATATTTATGGGATGAGATGCATCGAAACGCGGCTGGATCGTCTGTATCGCCGGGAAGACCTCTCTATGCCTGTGGAATAGTTGGCCACGCCAAATGTGAGAGCAAAAGGGACGAGATACACGTATGCTGCATGTAGGACAACACCATTGTAGCTATCTTTCTTGCACGACTTGGAAACAGGCGGCGACGAGCAGAATGTTGTTGGGGCAGAAAAGAATACAGTGTTGTGGGACCGCGTTTTCGCTCGAAGTGATGAGCATGCTTTGATGCTGGATGTGTGTTCATTGTTGTTCACACCCGCCTTCACGTCCCGTTCAGATCAACATATCTTCTCTCTGAGGACTAGGGCCAACATCGACGGTGTGGAGTAGGGAAGTAGTGCAAGAAGGTGATTTGCTTCGATAGATGTGACAATTGAGTTGAGAAAGCATTTGGGAAACGGCGTAGAGGTCTGAGGGCAAACTCGTATTAGCAGGGGCAGCTTGTCCAGGAGATGCACACATCCATCCAAAAGGCACGACCAGACAGAGCGAAGTTTCGCGGGTTCACATGGCTTCTTGTATCTCTAATTCTTGCGTCTTTAAAAGTGAGTTGGTATTAGGTATAACCGTCCAAGCACCTTCGAACACGTACCTCTTGGGCCCATAAAACAGTGCATCGGGACCGCTTCCTTCACCAAGTCGATGACCATCTCCGACGGGATGTTCAATATGCAGAAACTTTGTCCGCCGGTAATTGGGGGAGTATCGTCGAAGTTGGATGGATAGCCTCGCTCAAGGTCAATCAACAAGTCAAGGATACTAAAGAAAGCGTTGATCGGCTTCAAGGGCATAGACCTCCGAAGGGCGCTGTACATCTTCGAGTTCATGGAACGTTCGTCGTCAAAATCGACGTGGTGCAGTCGCAAGTTGGTTAGCAACTTCTGGGTCTCTGGCAGGCTCTTACGCGCACATCGCGGGCTAGATCATCGAGTGCCTGAAGACAATACCCGAGGAGTTGAAATAGCATAGGAGTCCGAGTAGAGACGCAGTTGGGAGTTCGGGTCGGCGATGGCGCCAAGGCCAATTTGGCGTTCCCGTTGCCACCGACCAAACAAGCCACGCGCGACGTCCGACGCCTTTACGCCTCTCCATCTCCTCTTACCACCATGTAACCCTGCTAGGTTATATTTTATGCCAGCGCACTTGACACTGAACGACTTGACACGCTTGATACACCTTGAACGTCCAGCTCAGCGTTTGAACGGCGATTGCAATATTTTCAGGACTAGTCGGTCAAACATCGGCCCTTGGAGCGGTGAGAACGACGAGAAGTTCAACGGTTTACCCTCGAGCAAGGGGCGGACCACCATATGCTACACGTTTCTTTGACCGACGAAATGAAACCTTGAGTGGTTCGAATTCATTTTATTTTTTCCCGTCGCGCTTCGTCTGACCTCTTCCTTCGCCCAGTATTTCATTCATATCCTGGTCGGGCTGCCTAAAATTCTCAACATCGAATGATGCTCCAAATGTTGGCCATGGCGCGGAGGCTCAAAATTCCCAGACCGGACACGTTGCGGACAACAAGAGGAGAATGTCTGCTGCACTTGTCCCACTGCAATTGCCGTAATGGCTTCTTTGCCCGTTCAAGAACCATTCTTCCCAGAGTTTACGAACTCGAGGCTGGAGCCATGACGGCTATTTGGCTTATCTGGGTTACGAGCAAGAAGGCATAGTGACAGGCCTTAAAAGTTTACCGGGCTAACTCCATAATGCGCGAAGTCCTCTCTAAACATAGTCGGCTGTCCCAATCCTCAAAAACCGTTCGACAGGGATTCATTTACTCCAGCACTTCTTGTGCCCCCGTCCGTTCCTTTTCCGCCTGGATACCCTCCCCTCTCACCATCTCGCAGCCTACGACCACCATGCCTGACTGGAAAGACCCTGCACAAGTCGCCAAGGACGCCGTTGCATTCAGCAAGTTGATGCACGCGCTCTTCGGTCTTTATGCGTAGGCCTTCCTTCGTTTTGTATTGGTGATACACTCATTGACCGTCCATCTTTAGTTACGAATGGTTCCTGTCTCTTGATTTCGATTGGGATTTCCTCGTCGGGAAGAAGAGGTTTCGTTGGCCAATGGTAAGGTTTGGACATAGCTTTCATCTCTTGATCGTGTTGACGACTCTTGGAATAGATTTTCTATTTCGCAAATCGTTACCTCTTACTCGTCGCCCTCATTGGAATGTAAGGAGGCACTTCTCTTCCTGTCCAATACGGGCGCTGATTTCCAAATGATAGAGCCATCGCCCTTGACACCACGACGTATGCGCGTTTTTCAGCCTTGTGGCAGATGGCACTTACCCGGTATTTCTCTGCAGAGAGGTTGACTGCCAAGCATTGTACACTTTCAACCAAGTAATTACCTCTTTCTGAAGTTCGACGAATCGACCTCGCTTACAAGACGCTTTCTCTAGCTTGCAGGAGATGCCGCAGTCGGATTGGCCAGCATCAATCTCTCGATTCGAACGTGAGTTTGTCGACTTTCTATCCCTTGAACGCGTCTAATTTTACACACAGTATGGCTATCTGGTCGCAGAATCGCTACATTATTGGTTTCCTCGTTTTGATCATGATGGGTCATTGGTCCTTGATTCTGCAAGGTCTGTCAATCAAAGGTTCTTCCGTGACTCTATCGAAGACCTCACCTACCATGCTTCCAGGTATCCAATTACGCGCTATATGGATTCCAGATGTCGGTTGCTCGATTACCCAGACCAACAACACTATCCTCGCGGCCATCTTCATTTATTCGATGTGTTTCGACCTGATCGTCCTCCTGCTCAACACCTACAAGCTCATGGGCGTCGCAACCAAGGTCTCCCCGCGCGACCTGATGGGATCCAGCCGCCTTACGCACATGATCTTCGCAGACGGGCTTATCTATTTCATCATCGCGTAAGTGGGTCTTACTGCGCTCTACACATCTTTCTGGGCTCCTTGACGGGGATTTGACGCTGACATTGGCCCTTGGCATGCATTCTAGATTCCTGGCCAACCTCGTCGCGACGATATTCATGCTCCTAAATCTGAACCAGATTATGAGCGTCATTTTTAATGTGCCTGCTGCGGTGCTGTCGACGGTATGTGTTACTTGTGCAGCCTGAATGTAGAGCGGAAATGACTAATTCGCGTACTCGGGGCGTGGCAGATTGTGGCATGCCGTTGCGTGCGCCGTCTCACAAACTTTACGCACCAGGGCCCGGAGGTGTAGTGCGTTCATTTCCTTCATTTTATCAAGCTTCCGTCCCTTAATCATCATTCATTTTCCTTCCCTTCCTTCCATGCATCATCCAGCAACGCAACGCACTCGACTAACCACCGTGGGATGACGATGGGGACCGGCGCGAGGGGTATGCCGACGGTGAACTACAAAGCTGCGACAAGGACGGGCGTACACGTCCAGGTGCGTCCAATCATCCCCAACCCCAAGTAGATCTTCCATCTAACCTTCTCGTCACGATCACTCTTGGAAGATGGAGAGATTTACGCATGCAGAAGACCTGAGCAGCGGGAACGATATATTTACCAGGCCGAAAGACGGGAGCGTGACGGACGTGGAAGGCGACCTGGAGAGGAAGGGTTCGCTCTGAGTGCGCCTTCAATTATACATGGGCTTTGAGAACCCTCACATTGAAAGTCAAAACGTATTGGTATTCTTGGAATGGAGATAAGTAATGGATAATTCAACTAGTGCGTCCTGATACCCCGCTCTACTGTCGCACTTGCCGTTAGTGTATAATAATACGGCACGCCGAGAAATAACTAATGTCGGTGGATTAAGACGCGTTGGTCCCCTCAGCCTCTCCAGCGACATAACATTGAAAAGTACATATCGCCTTTAGTACGAGGACTACTTTTATACATACATAACTGTCCGGGTGCTTCCATGTCAGCTCCCTATCCACTGACTGACCCACCAATCCCCGTCATCATGATCACCCACTTGCTTTCACTCGCTTCTTCACCTCCACCTAGGTGCGTTGACATCATCCCCAAATCATCAAAGTCCGAGATATAATTCACCGAGACGTCGTGCCTCCGAGGATAAAAAATGCGTCCGAACTATAGAATATATTAGTACTTTGGCCTATGCTTCAGTACGTACGTACGTACCTCCGGGCTGCATAATACTCGTACGGGAACACCTAAATGGCATTGTGGCGTACGCCGTCCCAACGTCCTCGGTGCCTCGATGCCTCTCCGAGCAGGGTTCTATCCCGCTCTCTGGCCTCATGTATTATCCTATCGCTTTTGCTTCGTCTTCGTCGTGACCCACTTCCCTGAGCTTGGACTTTTCAAAGCCTCGGACAACTTGTAAATCCCACGAAGTTTCTTTTTGAGGAATCACAGGGGCCGCATCTCCTCAGCCTACTTTTCAAAAGAATAAATTCCAACACCTGAGCCGCACATCGAGTCACAATAGTAAATACCCAATCGGCAATCTCTCAACTTGCTTCCCCACTTATCCCCAATGCAATAGTGTCCTCGCTGACGTCCGATGGCTTGACCTATGTCGAAATAATACGTTATCGCTCAATTGAACTCCGTCGGATATCGATAATGTTCTAGGGTCTGGGTTGTTTGACCAAAGTACAAGAGCTTCCGAAACAGAGTTTGTTTTCCTGAAGTCACAAGAGCCGCATCTCCTCGTCTATTTCACCAATTTATCTGAACTCCCATCTCGAGTCGTGATAGTGACACCTCAAGGCCTCAACTCCCAATCTCTCTAGCTTCCGTAATACTAAATATCACCCAACCCATGCTTTCACAGACGTCCAATAGCCCGCTCGTACGTTATCTCTCAATCTCTCAATTTATTATATTCTCCTTCCAGCTCGTCAGCTGAGGTCTGAGGTCTCCGGCCTAGATGCGCATGTCATAGCAATTGAACATGTCAAGCGGAAGACAAGAGAAGACACCGGATTTTAGGAGGAGCGCAACGGAAGTGCTGTCATTTGGCCCCCGCCAGGCTTTCAGTTCCATAAATACATCTCGGGCAGTTGTTGGCGTTCTCAAGCCGTGTGCCGTGCGGCAGCGGTCAACGGTCGTCCCAGAACATGGAGGTGTCCAGAGCTAGCAGGTGGTCTATTTATGCAAAGCGATGATTGGAGTCTTGCTTGGAGTCTTGCTTGGAAGCCGTAGGAAGAAAAAGAAGTTGCGATTGCAGAAGCTCGTGCTCGTCTTCTTGGAAGTTAGAAGACTGCGAGAGAGGGAAGGAACATGAGGCGTAAGCACCGCCGGTGTCGCGGTCTGCGCTTGAGAAGCGACCCAATGGCGTTTCAACTCCTTGCGACTGCGCCGAGTCGCGATAAGATAAGATCACGCATCCCAGAGCCTATCTTCCCCCTATCTCCCTGCCGCAACCGCCCTCATTGGCGCCGAGGGCCCCAACGCTGCCCCACCCCCGCTGTCCACTACTGCTCAAGTTATAATCCCTGTCAAGAGATATTACCCTCACCTAAGGAACGTCCCTCTTCACACTACTCGCCCCGGTACCTCGTTGGCAGAGAGACCACCTCACGTCACGCCTATGGCGGCCGTGCATAGATACCTATTTTTGCTTTTGTTCTTGTTCTATAGATACGACATACGACATAAGACATGAGCTTTCTTCCAGGATGACCGTCGCCGTCGACGAGTCGACATGCAAAATTAATTCGACCCGGATGTCTGACGGAAGGCGTTCCGGCAACACTTGCTCAACCATGAGACTCATTAGCTCGGGCTCAGGCTCTCGGATGGATCAGGTTAGGTAAAGGGCCTTGTACCTCTATTAGAACTTACGACACAGTCTGTCTAGCAAGCTAGCCAGCTGGGCAAAACGTTCAACGCTTCACCGTCCAATAGCCTCTCGGAGGAGTGACAAATGAGCAGAAACAGGGCCGTTAATTGAAGCGAAGCGCGAAGGGGGAAGGCCTGGTTGATAGGCGCACTGAAGCCCTCCAACCTAAACTAAACTTGACGCTTTCGCTCTCGAGTTCATTGGCCAGACGACGCGAAGAATACTTCCTGGAAGGCTGGAAGATTAGAGGACCCTAAGCTAGAGCAAGCGCTTTCTGATAGTGCTGAGAGAATAAGTACTTGGCATCTGGCGAGCAATTGGTATGAATGTAACTCTGAAGGGTCCGAGGACGTGAGCAACTTCGACTTCGAATTCCAGGGTTAGCGCGACACGCTGCTGAGGGCGCCGGACGGAAAATTATTTTCAGCTCAGGCCCTTGCGCACCCGATCTCGAGGAATGGAAGATGCGAAGACACCAAGAAGAAAGATACAAGCCAGCATCCAGAAATGCGTCAGGCGTGAGAAGGAAGGAGAGTTCCAGTCAACTGGTCGTCGACTAGGCAAACGCTCCACTTAACTTGTGGGTGGGGAGACCTCGCGTGCTCACCCATTAAGTACCCCGATTCAGGAAGAGAAAGTCGTTTCCGAAGTCATTCCTGTGGTAAGTAGCAACTTCTGTGGGCGCTTTATGTTGCCGTTGTGAAGAGACGAAAGTCAGGTCCCGGGGTTCTTGTTGCGACTCCACCATAACAGAAGTTAAATCCTCCTGATAGGCACTGCTGATTGTGGGCGATATCGACTGATATTGATAAGCAGTTGTTGGCAGATGGCGCTCGTGTGGGCTGTGGGCCGCACACCGCAGACGATCCATTGATCGAGAGTACTCTTCGAGTCGACGTCGGCGAAAATTTGCGATCTCCCCGACGTGATTTGTGGGTGCAGGTCTAAATCCGACCCCGACAGCACGAGGGAAATGTCAAGTGCTTAGGTAAATTTGGCCTTTCCAGAATAGATTGTTGAGGGCGCGGCCTAGGAATTTCGCCGAGAGGCTCACCAGAGCCCAGGTTGACGCTGGAAGAAATAACACGACGCAAGAATGGTTTCTGCACATGAACAGAACTTGCTAGAAGACTCGCTAGAAGGGATACCGATGCTGAAATGTGGGGGATATTATGCACTGTCAGTCCAGAACCCCAGAGATGAGCGTGGAAGAAATTTGGTATCGTGGTAGCCTCCACTTAGGAAGTCGATTGTCTAGAGAATAATGATGGGGGTGATTTGATCGTGTCAAAAGGAAGAGGGCGTTAAGGTGGCTATGGGTGGGTACACCTCTGTTGTTGACCCGATATACAAGGATCCTGACGAGAGGTAGGAGAACGCTAGAGTGACTGGGGGAGGCGGGTATTTTTCTCTCAAACCAGAAAATACCAGCATCCATCAGAAAGAAGCGAGGATTGGAGACTGAACAGCATGGAGAGAGGGTGGTGGGGATAAGCAGGTGGGGCCTACACTCTCTGCGGTCTTGGAAATTCAGCCAGCCGAGATGAGTTACGGAATAGCTGGCAAATCCTCAAAGCCAAAGCCAAAGGCTAAGGAAATTAAAGTCTGACAGGAAACGAGGTTGAACGTTCAGCACGCAGACGAAGTGGGGAGGGGGCGCCTTCTTGAAATTGGGATTGGCTGCATGGCTTCGTCAAGACCGACATCACCCAAGTCGTCAGGACACAGGTGGACGTGAAAGGGAACGATAAACCAGGAAGGTGGAGCGAGCGGTGGAGGAGGTTTTGAGTTTAGAAAGAGACTATTGTCGTAAGGAGGCTTAAAGTTATCTCCTCGTAGTTGACGAAGATGTTCTTAGACTGCTCGACACAGTGCATGGTGAAGGCAAGGCGGCGATGGATGGAGGAATCCTCGGCCAATCTCGCCGGCATCACCCTCGGCCGAGAATGGCTAAATGAGGCCGAATCGGGAAGTCCCACGGCCCGGAGCAGCACAGATCGCCCGTCCTGCTGCCACTGCTGTTATCTGGCACCGACGCACCACTATTTTGCCATTTCATATCTGGGCTGCTAATGCTTTCCTGTGCGCACCAGCGACCTTCTCGTTATGGCATCCATTTGCGCCATGATGCTCCAGTGGGCGGGAAAGAGTTTGTGTGTACGGACCTAATGGGGCGAGTGTCGTCAGTTGTGGTTCTGGGATTCTCTGAGCGAGTGAAGGGTGTTATGCCAGAAGACTCGAGCAGGTGACCCGTGCACGCCCCGATCTATAAAGAGTGCCTCTTCGACTTTTCATTTTCCTGCCGGATCGTCTCCTCTCCCCGCTCCGCTCCTCTTCCGCTGCACCAACCATGGTCGACTGGACATCCCCCGCAGAGATCGCCAAGGACGCAGGTACGCTCTCTCTAATCCACGCAGTGCGCCCCGTGCTCACCACGACTCGCAGCCGCCTTCGACAGGCTCATGCACGCCCTCTTGGGCCTGTACATGTATGCACTATCCCCGCCGGGCGATATCCAATATTAACGCGCATATAGGTGGGAGTACGCCATCTCTATCGACTTCGACTGGCAGTATCTCTCCGGGAAGAAGACATTCCGTTGGCCATTGGTACGGCGGGCTCACTTGCTTCGCGAAACGCGTTCTCACTCGTGATACTACGTCAGCTCTTCTACTTCCTGAACCGCTACTGTCTTCTGTTCGCGTTGATTGGAATGTACGTCCTTCTATCTGGTACGATTCTTCGGACGTCTTATTCACTCTTCTCGCAGTGCGATCGCCCTGAACGTCACGGAGTACGTGGTGGCCTTCTTTCACGTCTGACAGACCTCCGAACGATCACGGAACAGGGAGATTAACTGTCAAGGACTGTACACGTTCAACCAGGTGTGCATATATGCGTCTTCATACTCCTCACTTTCTCACATATCGTTCACAGTGCTTTGGGAATGCCGCCATCGGTCTTGCAAGCATCAATCTGTCCCTTAGAACGTGAGCCCTCGAAGATATGACGCATATATGCGCGTTATTGACCGTTTCTCAGGATGGCCGTGTGGTCACGGAAGTGGTACATCGTCGCTCCTCTCGTTCTCGTCATCATGGGGCATTGGTCATTACTCTTGCACGGTAAATGCACTCGAATATCCCTGAAACGCACAGTTCTCAGCCGTGTTCCTTCCAGGCATCCTGCTTAAAGCGGCGTGGGTCCCAGAGCAAGGTTGTATTATTACCCAGACAAACTCCAAGATGCTCGCCGCCACGTTTATCTACACGATGGTGTTCGACTTCACTGTCCTTTCTCTGACGGCCTTCAAGCTCCTGTACCCCAAGACTGGCCGTTCAAAGCTTGTCGAACTCATATTCAACGATGGATTGATCTATTTCGCCATTGCGTAAGTTTTATTCAGTGGTGGTGTTAAGACGGTCACTTAATCGATAAGTGCATTAGTTTCCTCGCCAACCTGATCGCCACGGTACGTTCAGCGCTATGCGAGCGCGACGAGTTGTCTAAGTAGCTCGCAGATATTTATGCTCCTCGACCTCAATCCCGTCATGTCAATCATCGCGAATGTACCAGCCGCTATTGCATCAACGGTAAGTCAACTAAGATCTTTACCACCATTTCAAGTTTGACGCGACTCGTGCTAGATTGTTGCGTGCCGGATTGTGCGACGTCTGAGTAGCTTCACGTCTAAAGGCCCTGAAATGTTCCCGTACGTCATATCGCTACGATAAGCAACTCTGCTGCGGATTGACCTACCGTCTACAGAACCTCGACCCAAGGTTCTACTATTGCCTTCCGCTCGAACATGTCCCATGGACTACGTCCAAAACTTTCTACCAAAGTTTCGACTGCCAAATCGGAGGGTGTTCACGTCCAGGTACAGTGTAAAGCACGTCCTAAAAGGGTCTATCTGTCTTAATACCACCTTCCAGATGGAGACCTTCGAATCCCCAACCGACAAGAGCGCATATATGGAGTATGACGCTGCAGGACAGCTAGCCAAGTCCGACAGCTACGACCCAGAAGCACAGGCCATCAGCGGCGAGTTCAAGAGGCCCCCCTACTAGACTTGATGCATGTGCAAAGCAAAGAAAGAAACGATAGCGCTGGTCCGCCACCGCACACAGCTCGAAACAGACACAGAAAAGAAAAGTATAATTTGCATACCACCTTCACATTACGTCAATCATACCTCGGTCTCCTCCTTGCACATACCAATACCATCATTCGATTTCATCGCGCACACATGGCTATCCTCTCTATGAACCACTTTCAATACCTCTCACCCTTGGGCACTGGTTTTTCTGCGTGCCACTTGCGTGCATGTTGCGTGCAGGTGCGTGCAGTGCGTGCATCTGCGTGCGTGTTGCGTGCATTTGCGAGCGTGTTGCGTGCATGTTGCGTGCATGTTGCGTGTGTGTTGCGTGCAGGTGCGTGCATGTGCGTGCGTTGTTGCGTGTACCTGCGTGCGTATCTAGTTGGGGTGTTGGAGCCCCAAAATATTACCCACGCTATTCAGAGGCTCGTCACTGGCTCTGTCGATGGTACTCATGTCCACTATAGACCAGCGTGAATGTGTAAAATAATTTTCGTGTTATTAGCTTATATTTTAACCTCGAGATAAAGTAACTTAAATCCTAAGTAGGTCAACCGGAGCGGTTTTGGCGGCTCCCTTTCCTCCATGGCCTAGGATGCTATTGATGTGTGTCTCCCCACGTCTAGGTAAGGAAAGGGCATACGGAGGTGCTCATAATTAAATTGACTATTCAAATACCATGTATGGAGGGCATCACTCCTCTGACCGCCGGAAAACTCATTGCGGAGGGGATGTTGAGGTGTGGCTGTGCCATCACTCGCGGCGCCTAACCAGGAGCGTGCATGACATTGTCGACCCCATGCAAGGCGCAGGGTGGAGCACTAAGGTACAAATTATATATCTACAGAATCGTACGAGTGAGGGCTTTTGACTGGTAGTCTCAAAAGTAGTTGCAGACAACTTTTGATGACATGACAATGAAAACTTCACTCCCTCATCCAGGCATCAATCCGTTTCCCACGGGGATACATCCTGAAGGAGCAGCACTTTAAGCGCTATAACGCTCCCGGATGACATCTGGGATAACTTTTTTTAATAGTTACTGTGTGTAGACGAGTAAATAAACATATTTCCAAAGTTTGGTATAATACTGGTTGTTGTAGCACGTACAGTGACACAAATTAGACAACTGCTCGCGAGGCTAGGTACACGGACAGTCGAAGAAAAATCGACGCGAAGGGTTTCCTGCACATATAACTCGAAGAAGTCAATTGAGGAGACCTACAGGATATTATTACAGATTTCTGACATATGAATCGAGCTGTGTGCGTGGAGAGTCTTGAGTTGCGTGCAATTGCGTGCAGTGCGTGGGAGTTGCGGGTAGCTGCTTGGTATCAAAAAGATAACGATGCAGGTCGCAAGGAATACTTCAACAGAACAAGAAGACAAGATTCGCTTGCCAGGTGTTGACTATTGCTTAGTCACGGGCGAGTTGCATGCAGATGTGTGTGTGTATGTGCGATATGTGCGTGTGCGTGCGTGCGTGCGTGCGTGCGTGTATGCGTGCATGCGTGCGTGCGATGTGCGTGCATGCGGGTGCGTGCAGACAAGTACGTCATTATGTGCCTGTGGTGGGGATGGCTATGAGGAAAGGTGACGCCTTGAACATTCAAAATAATGCTTCTGAATAAATACCGATTATGTATCTACCAGGAAATGTAAATAGAAAGAGTAAAGTGACTGTATCATGAGCGGCTCGTATGCATTTTCGACTTCACTTTAATAGGACGAGGTCGTACACGAGGCTTCTTCTGAGGCACTGGGCTAACCATTTCCACTTCTATGAAGTTGGGGCCGCGCTTTGTGTTTGGTGAGCATACTGTCTAAATCTCGAATGAAGGCTGAGCTTACCTGCATCTCGTCCTCACTCCCATCTCTATCTCCACGGTTCCAGTGATACGGCAGCCCTTGGTACGGGTCCCAGCCACCTTGGTGATCTCCGGAATCAAGCCCCCATTGGTAGTGACCCGCAACTCCTGCACGCTCAGAGCGCTCGAACATTTGTTCTTCGAGTCGCTCCAAGGAATCCCTGTCGACGTCAACATCAATGAGCACAGAGGGAGTTCCTGTTCTTTGTACCTCCCAAGCCCGGTCAATGAGTGCAACCTCTGTCAGCTCCTGGAAGACTTGGTATCCCCTGAGACGAGATGCGATCAAGACTGTGTGGGCATGTGCGATTGGGAGGTAGGCCAACCATTCCTGTCGAAGATTCGGGTCCTTGCTTATATTGATCTCAAACCAATTGGAGACCTGGGCACGGTCAAGGAGCGAGAGACTCCCGACCTCCGGAACAATGGTCCTTGTAAGGGGCTTCTTCTCCATCTCGAGCTGTCTTTTGGCTGGAACTTGGTTGCTGTCCACCACTTGAGGATCGAGAAGAAGATCCCTTAGGACGCCTTCTGCAGGTCGAAGTGCACATTCCACCTCGTTTGAAAATGGTATTGACGTCGGATCCGCGAGAATGTCTTCCGAGGTCTCGATCTCGTGAGCATGTTTCCACCTCCCAAGCTGTAATTGACCAGATAAACGACTCTCACTTATTCCCCAGAATGTGAAAGCGCACCCTTATTTGTCGTCGTGCTGCTCGGTCATCCCACAATTCGTCAACAATGTCACCTTGTTCAACCAAGGTCGTTGAATCGGGCTGAATCTTGTCGTCCATGAAAAGACATGAGCGCCACCAGCGCACTTTCCACTTCGCCTTCTGAATGAGGCGAACAGGATACCAGAAGTCCCCGTTACGTGCGAGTGCACCACATCCAGATCTAGAGTCTTTTTTAGCGCATGCTCTTATTCACCTCTTACGAGGTATCGCAGTACTCACGTTAAACGATCTTCTAGGGTGATTTTTCTACTTTTCCTGGTGAGAAAATACCAACGCATGTTGAGAAAGAAAAACTTACTTGCGTCCTGATTTTCGTTTCGGAATTTCCTGCACTCCACCTGGAAGTAAGTGGGTTAAATCACAGAAGTCGCATAGGTAAGGGTCCTTCTTTCGCAGGTTTCCAGCTCGCCCATTCCGTTGACAGGCGATATGCGACCAGCTCTTGCACTCGTCACACTGGATCGCTTCCCCATCTTCCACACGGTAGAGGGCGTTTCCATCACCGCTCATCCCACACCTACAGTTGATCTCAAACTCCGAGTCAGGAAGACTTGAAATTTGCGACACAGCCTGTGAAGGAGTAGGAGAATATTGAGTGTCGCGAGGGGCAGTTGTGGGGGGGACTGTTCGAAGGGGATCGGCTGGGGGGCTTGTACTGTCCTCCGACTCGGGCGCCTCGCGTGGAGGCCTCGTTTGAGTGACCACAGCAATTCCCGCATGAGTTAGATACTCTACCGTTGTCCCTTTGTATGGATCAGTCAGCCAGAAGCGAAGCGCGTGCTTCATCGGGGAAAGATTGGGGTCGTTAGAGCTAATGAGGAATGGTGAACTGAGAGAGTGAGGGGAGATTTTGAGATGGTAGCGCTGGGAGTAGGCCTTGACACGAAGATCGAAGAACTTGTTCTGCGCGGCGAGCCCACCCCGGAGAATGTAGAAAGCCTGAATAACCGAGTATCCTGTGGGAAGGACAGGATTACTTCCTGAGATATGGGTCTTGAACGTCGCCTCTGGGGGTTCCTGCACTGGAAAACCACCATGCTTCATCCCATCGTAAGTATAGATGACCTTCCGATCCTTGGATGCATAACGCGAGATGAAGTGCTCCCCATTCGTAAGGGCAAGTCCAATGAGATCATAGGCAATTATTGTCCATTGTGCATCTACGGTTTAAATACGATAGTACATGTTATTTCTTAGTGTCCACGTATGTTATTTCCAGTCCACAGCCTTTCTTACCATGCACGCAGCTGCACGCAAGTGGCACGCAGATTTCCAGTTGCCCCTCACCCTTCCCCCCTCGCCGTTGCCCCCTTCCATTCGCACCCCCCTCCAGTCCTTTTCTTGACATCGTCCTACCTTCGTCGTTGGCTTCACGTCGGGGCGCCGCCACTTAGATCCAGAAACACACACGATCGTTTTCGCTTTCCATTGGACACTTCCCCCCCACCCACCCACACCATCAGATTGGGTCCGTCCAGCCTGTCCCCTGTGGCTCAGATGCATTGTGAACCTTGATAGAAGATATTACTCTGTTGTTTGGTTGCTGTCGACGCTCTAGTGTGATGGAACGGATATTGGAAAGGCAGGGAGGGTCAAACGAGGCGCCTTTCGTGTTGTGGCGTTTGTTTACGTTTGGATATTCTTCTTCCTCCTCCGAACCATTCTACACGCACTGCGCCCCGAGTTCTGCTCTCGACGCGATACCCTCCCCCCGATCCTCCTTCCTCTTTTTTCGACACCTTCTGATTTGCCCTTGCTGCTTCTTTCTCGACGCTCCTGGACTTGCCCTTCTTAGTTCCCCGATCATGATTGGCAATAGCCTTTTGGACTGGAAATGAAGGAGGGAAGAGAAGGAAGGGCCACCTGGCTTCGTTTTAGCTTTTTCTTTCATTTTCATTTTCGCTGTAGTTTTGACTTTCTCTTTCGCCTTTCGATTTTCGCGCTTCGCCTTTGATAGCATGGTACCCATTTCTCGCTCGCATTACATACCCAGAACCCAGATGGAATTAAATGAAGAATTAAAATGTAATTTGATGGCTTTTTATGTTATTTTCCTCGAGTAGACTGTTGCGGGTGGCAGCCTGAGAGTCGAGTAGAAGATTGGGGGGCAACAAGGCGGCAAAGAGGGGTTTGTGAGTTTGGAAATTTTCGTGGGAAAGGCAATCTGACGGCGCTTATGGCACTCCGTATTAGGATATTTGCTTGTAGTGAAGCTCATTTTTATGCTCCAACTTGAAAGAATCATCTCCGTGACTCTCGGCGAATGGAGATGAAGCTGGGAGTATGAAATGCTGTTGGGCATATTGTACTCCTATCAGCGCGTTAGTTAAGATTTAAAGAAGGAGATACCCAGAGGATTTGAAACGCTTTCAGAAGTTAAACGCTCTGTCGACAGACTGCGCCGACTAAATAATTCGGATATGTGCCATCGTTTGACGGTCTCGGGGATCGAAAAAAAGAGCCGACTCTTCGCACTCTCGCCCTTGTGAAGGGGCTCCGAGTCGTCAGAGTGAACCGCTACCCTAGCTGCTTTGGTTCTGTGAGCCAATTTGACCCTTCTTGGAACCCATTTTGACTTGCACTACGGGGATTCTACCGAGGTAAGGTCGTTCTACCCAGGTACCATGCGGTTTGACCCTGAAATAGCTGGGTGCGTGATTGGGGTGAAGTATGCCTGTGGCGCACCTATGTACTGCCATTTCTGGACTTTGCGCATCCCGAGTAAGAGTCTGCCGGCAGTAAGAGTCTGCCGGCAGTCTCCGTAAATGATCCCGAAACAGTGGAAAGAGGGTTCTTTAAGTTAAATCCTGGAGACGATGTGCCGCTTCTATTTTACCTGTGGGATTTTGGAACTGCATAAAGAAATAATTCAAATTTGGTGTAAACATCTTGGTCACTGTGTCAAACGACGGTAAAGGTCTCCTGGAATGTCTGGCGTACCCCTACTTCGGCCACTGTCAATGATCCTTTCTCCTCATTCCTCATCCCCTCCTGCCTCGCAAGTCAATGTTGATCCACTGAGACAGCTTCATTGAACCTTTCGAGGATCTCTTCGAGGTCCTATTAGCTATACCGAGCTTGGACGAGTAGGATATATCTGGTTTCACCATTTTCGACGAGTTCTCCGAACTTTTGGTGGCCGTCAATCGATGAAGAAGAATCCAACAGAGACAAGATGCTACCATCGCTGACAAATCTTCAAGGCTCTCTTGACAGTACGGTGCAGTGGACCCCAAAAATCCCACGTGGCCACCTATATGTAAGACCATCGAAGCAAGGACGTCCCTAGACCATGCTGACAGTGAGAGAGGTCCTCGAGCGTTTATGATATGACTTCGTGACTTGAGGATTTTCGGCCATAGACGTGCACGACGTGTCGCGAAGTCGTAATGGACATTTAGATGAAGGTGAGTTGTCGGTTTGGAATCCGTGAGCGCGTTATATCTACTTAACGCTGGGCCACAGAAACCCAGTCTCCGTCGATAAAAATGAACATTGTATCACGCGTGTTGATCCTTGTCAAGACACCAAGCATCCCAAGGCGAAGTATATTCATAATCTATCGGACGTTCGCACTACCTCCACATACAAGGATAGGCACATGTTCAGGCTAGGCGCGAGGAAGTCAGTTGGATTAGCTCTAGGGCTAGCTGAGACGCGCAGTGTGGCGTCCCATCAAATTAGTTTTCAAATTCGAGGCGCGTAGGCATCACGTTCTACGTCGGAAAAACCTACAATGTTCAAAGCGGTTCCTTAAAAGGTAAATCTCGCGGCTGACTCGGAGAGCCACCAGTACTAGGTCTAAACCGTAAGGCCTGTGTCATAAGTCATTGGAACCCCGTCATCGATGAGCCGCCCAGAAGCTCCTCCATGAACCAAGCTGATATCTATCATCCATTATCGTCGGTAAGAAAACGCATATAAGACATCCTCAGCGTAGAATCCCCTCAGATCCCGACCCACCTTTCCTACCAAATTTCCACTAATCAGAAATGCGATTCACTGCCCTCCTCGCCCTCCTCTCCTCTCCTACTCTTATTCCCCTCGTCCAAGGCGCCATAAACGGCCGTTGCTCGAAGCCCACCGGCGTCTGCGTCACCACCTCCTCGTGCACCGCCGCAGGTGGCACATACCTCTCGGGCTATTGTCCGAACGACCCTTCCAATGTCAGGTGCTGCACCAAGTCGCCGTGCTACCAAGGCAGAGGGACTTGCAGGTTCACATCGGATTGTAACCGCGACGAGCATTACTATTGCTGGTACGTTTTGAGTGGTTTGACCTTTTTCTGGATGAGAGAGCTAACGAGGACGGGATACGTAGGCTATTGTCCGGGAGGCTCGAACTTCTTGTGCTGCGTCCCAGTCTGATGTGTCGTGTGTAAGACCGCAGAGAAGCTTCATGCTGCTGAGGCATTGTCTATCTCACCTCGGTCGCTTCGGCATTGACGTTTCATTTCTCGTTACTAGGCCCACTCGTGCCCTTCTTCTCCCTTACGAATCTCCATTTTAAAATCCACCAAAACAGCTCTTTTTCCTGTTGACATGCCATCTCCGAAGCCCGAATCCTTCTCATTACTTACAAGAAAATCCCTTAAAGACTACCTTTGAGACGTACTGCTACAAATTACCTATCAGGTTGTGTACAATTACCTTGTAAAATGACGGTTCGTTCTGTGGAGATGTCGACGAGAGTTCGACAATTACAGTCACGGCGTTTGCCGAGCGAAGATAGACGCCCGGGCAAATGCGGACCGCCTCGGTCTGCAAGCCGAGAATCGGATACATGGAAATGGAAACTACGGCGATTACTAGGGCGGGATCTGCAGGCAGTGACGAATAAGTTCGTCCCGCTCTGTAATCTACGTCTTCGCAATACCATCCTCCACTGTGTATGCCCTGTTCGACATGGCAACGCGTAGAGCAGACACTAATGATCCCACCTGTGAAAAGTGCCATCGCGTGGCGCCGCTCCGCAAAGTCAGGGACCTTCTTTGACCACTCTTGGATTCACGTAGGTGTCTTCAAATGACTGCTCAAATACGCAGGGTACTCGACTTATAACATGTACACGAACACGAAGAACTGCAAAAATAGCTCAAATAGCTCAAAATCGAGAGGACGACTCACCTTATCAAGATCGAAGTCGAACACGAACATCGGCGGCAGAGGCGGCAGATGACTAGAATGGAAGGCTATAGGAGACACAATAGGTGAGTTTGAGAGATTACCGAGCAATAAATGTGTTTACTGACTGTGATATGCACTCTGAGACGATGGCGCAGACTCGCACTCTAACCGCGCCTCCTCAACGTCAACACCAGCACCCTCGACTACCAAGACCCCCTACCGCACCCACCGGTGGAGATAGCCCACTGGAAGTAGCTCACAAAGGGAGCCAAGACATGTTCGAGCCCCGAGACGCCAGATCTAAACACACCCAACACATCGTGAGTGCCCCACCTCACCATCGACGATCAACACAAATTTACCGTGTCCTTAGGTGCTCAATGGGACATTTATACGGTTGCGAGGGCGGCGAGAGTATCGAGGGTAGTGGAGGACGTTGGCCAAGGGTGCATTTGGATGATGGTGGGCCAACACGAGGGTGGGCGGAGAACGTCCGCATAAAGGTGAATTTCTCGCGTGTTCGCAAGACGTTTACTTTGTCTCTAGGCTGCACACGATGTGTTGTACCACGAGGACGGTGGAGGAGAGTGCCTGGATATCTGAGAGAATTGGGAATGACCGGGATAAGGTCAGTACGAGGTTACTGAAGGCACGAACGAAGATTTACCTTTGTCTAGTCCCCGACCACCTTCCCACTTGCTCCAAACGCCAAATGTCGAACATCTACGTGCCCCAGTGCAAGAACTCGGTCGAAAACTCGGTCAGTCAACGGCGTTCCCACATATAGGGCGAAAGACTCGGCTTCGGTGTGAGACATCGCCTCAGGGGTTCTCTCTCCATCTCCTCGGAAAACGATGACGTGGAAGGATGAGCAGCGCGACTACAAGGTTGGTTTACCTATTGTTTTGTTCAGAGAAGCGAGAACTTACTTCTAGTCATAGATATTGCGTCAGCCCAATCGAAGGGGATATTACAAGAGGCGAACGGCGGTGGGTCAAGTTGGAACTGCTCTCCTTGACGGGTTGTGGCTGCAAGTTGTCGCGCTTAAGATTCTTATTGGTGGCTTTCTGTGGTGCTACGGTTAGGGAATATTATTCTCTCGTTTGGTTGCTGTCGACGCTCTAGTGTGGTGACATGGACTTTGGAAAGGGAGGGTCGAACGATTCGTGTTCACTGTTTGGTGTGTGCTGCTTCGCATTCATCACCCTTCTAGGCTTCTACACGTTGGGGAGGTACCGAGAGGGAATCCTCGGAGTTGCGGGGAGCTGCTGGGGCTGTCTGGTGTGATGATGGTATCTATCTACGAACATGCGAGTCTGTGTGTCCCAGTCGATTGAACTCCGCTCGGGTCGCTCATCTCCGGGAGCACTGGGCCACAACGTGTTCTGCTCTCGACGTGATTTCGCTACCATCCCTTCGCCTCGCATTTTTCTGCCTTTCATAAGTTAGGAATTCAGAATGTCTGCACTTTATTGGAACATAGGCAATTAGTTTGATGACAAAGCTAGGTTTTATTATAGCGTTTGTCTGCGAAAAGGCGATTGAGGGTAATTCAAACGACCTTCGCCATATTTTGGACGTTTAGAGATCTCAATAACCTATAATGCAAGACCGGCGGGCACACTGGGACCGAACACCGTGGGTTCAGCTCGCTACTTTCGATGCGTCATTGACAAGGGGTGGCTGGGCACCACCATTTTTCTCTCAGGTTACAACTCTTCCCTAGTGCTCCAGCTCTAGGCAATCGGCTCGATGTTGACAGCTTCACGGACACTCTGTACACCCCCTCGCGTAAGGTGTCCGGATGCTGATGGAGAATCGAAGCTCGAAGCTTGAATGATATTATTCCACCTTGAGGATTTTTGGCCCCACTGAAGACGGACACGACGCGTCACGAAGTCGCAATGGATGTTCAGGTGAAGGTGAGTTGTTGGCTTGGATTCTGTGAGCGCGCTTTATCTGATTATCGCTCCGCACGAACCCAGTCTCTCTCGATGCAAATAAACATTACCTCACGCGTGTAGATCCTTGTCAAGGCACTAAGCATCCCAAGCCGAAATGCATTCAACATCTACCGGATGTCCGCACTACCTCCACACAAAGTTGGACACATGGCAAGAGGAGGGCAATTGTATTAGTTCTGGGACTAGCCAAGAACAGCAGTGTGGCGTCCCGTCAAAATGATTTTCGAATTCGAGGCGCTTAGGCCTCGCGGTCTGTCGGAAAAACCTGAAGTACCGGTTCAAAGCGGTTCATAAAACGGCGACTCTCACAGCTGAGAATTACCATACCTAACCGACGTAGGTCCTCTGTCATAAGTCATTGGAACCCCGTCATCGATGAGTCGCCCAGAAGCCAAGCTGATATCTATCATCCATTATCGTTGGTAAGAAAACGCATATAAGACATCCTCAGCGTAGAATCCCCTCAGATCTTCACCCACCTTTCCTACCAAATTTCCACTAATCAGAAATGCGATTCACTGCCCTCCTCGCCCTCCTCGCCTCTCCTACTCTTATCCCCCTCGTCCATGGCGCCATAAACGGCCGTTGCACGAAACCCCTCGGCGTCTGCGTCACCACTTCCTCGTGCACCGACGCGGGCGGTACACACCTCGGGGGCTACTGCCCGGCCGACCCTTCCAATGTCAGGTGTTGCACCAAGTCGCCGTGCTACCAAGGCAGAGGGACTTGCAGGTTCACATCGGATTGTAACCGGGCGACGAGCATTACTATTGCTGGTACGTTTTGAATGGTTTGAGCTTTTTTTTGGAGGAGAGAGCTAATGAGGACGGGATACGTAGGATATTGTCCGGGAGGCGCGGACCACTTGTGCTGCGTCCCAGCTTGATGCATCGTATCCGAGTCAATCAAACCGTAGAGAAGAAGCTCCATGCTGCCGAGGTGCTGTTGTAGTATCCAATCAACCCTATCTTACCTCGATCGCCTCTGCCTTGAAATTTCCTTTCTTATCACTATGCCTGCTCGATTCCTTCCTCTCCCTTACCATTTTAAAATCCACTACAACAGCTCTTTTTCCTTTTGACATGTTTCAGAAGTCCGGATCCTTCTCATTATTTATGAAAAATCCCTTAAAGACCACCTTTTAAATGTACTACTACATATTATCTACCAGGCTGTGTACAACTACCTTGTAAAATGACGGCTCGTTACTTGTATGGAACCACCGACGAAACTTCGACAATCGACAGTCACGGCGTTTGCCGAGCGAAGATAGACCTCGGGCAAATGCGGACCGCCTCGGTCTGTAAGCCGAGAATCGGATTTGAATTAAAGAATTATAACGTAGTTTTATGACTGAGTTTGGAAATTGTCATAGGGCAGGCAATCTGACGGCGCTTATGGCGCCCCGTATCAGATGGCAGAAGCCCTGTGTCAGACCACGCTGACTAAACGATTCGCCATCGCCTGCTCTCAAGTCGAATCCTGGAGACAAGTGTCGCTTCGATTTTTACCTGTGGGATTCTTGAGACCAAGAGGTAGAGTGCTTTATAATGACCCGGGTGGTGTAATCCCGTGTGCATAAAAGAAATGATTCAGGGGGTGTAATGAGCTACGTTCAGTCATCCAAGGAGCCTAATAGCATTCATACCCTCGGGTAGACGCTAAAGAGCGTTATCTATGTTACACCTCCTAGGTCAACTTACCGAGCCGCTTAACCGCCGGGGAAATTTTTGTTTGCAATAATGGGCGCTAAAATTAGACCGTGGGATAAACGGGCCGTTCCAGCCGCTTCATGACGTATCAGTAGCACGTAAGCAAGTTAACAGCCGCCATTTGTTCTGACGTTTTCCAGCTTTTGACCCTCATCATCTTTCCTTACAACTACTACATTTCCCTTCGAGTCCTTAAAAATTCCTTCAAAGCGCAACTATGGCACACCAAATACCGGAAAATGCCTCGCCACATCTCGACCCTCATCGTATCTCTCGTTTCTCCTCAGTTTTTGATGCGACATTGCACCGAAAAGGAGTAGAAGGGAGTCTCTTCGTATAATGGGAAAACCGGGGACTTCACGGATGCAGGGAAGAGCTTAGGAAGCCTTAGGTGGGTCTGAATGGGTACGTCGCTCCCGACTCTGCTCATGTGCCCATGCTGGATGATCAGATTTACCGACCCGATGCGTTCGCTCCTCCTTCGTGCCTGCTTCGCTTGTTCATCCAGGTATTAAAGCACTCAAAGGCAGGGACGTAGACTCAAGTCGTTGAATTGCTTCAGAGCTCTCGCAGCTATTGCTTGAACTACTACGTCACGCTCACTACAACCGATCTTGTCATCGTTCACAATGTTGACACCTGCAGACCCCAAGTCAAAGCCCAAGCTCCGCATCGCGATCATGTACGTCGCCCCCAGACCCCGCCACTACATCCAACTGTCATTCCGAGTCCTGACCATGCGTCTTTCAAACGCACAGCGGAGGCGGCATCGGCGGGCTCACGCTTGCGGTGGCGTTGTGCCAGATGAAGCTCGACAACTACGTTGTCGTGGACCTTTACGAGTCGACCGCGAAGCTGATGCAGGTCGGCGCTGGGATCTCCTTCTGGCCGCGTGGGTGGGAGGTTATCGAGTGCATGGGCCTCGGCGAGCCGCTCAGGAAGCACCTCAGTCCGGGGCAGGGGACCACTCCGGACGAGCTTCGTGAGTATTGTGGCGGGGTATATAGCTGATTGACGGTGAACTGGCCTATTGCAGAGACGGTCTTGAAGCTGCGAAAGGGAGATCAGAATCCCGGAGCTCATCTCGTGGACATTAAGATGAAGGGTACGCCACAGCTTCGTGTCGCCTCATCCATCCAACGACGCGCTGACTTCTCGCTGTCGACCAACGTCGCAGGCGGAGGGTACTCTTTCCACCGGGCCGACGTACAAGACGTCCTCCTCGCGCACCTGTCGCCCTGTGTCACCCTGCATCTCTCTCACCGTCTCGGCTCCTACAAGCAGGTGGACGATCACCTCGAGCTCGGGTTCAAGGACGGCAAGACCGCAACGTGTGACTTCCTGATCGGCGCCGATGGAGTCAACTCGGCGGTGCGGCGGTCAATGTTGACGAATGGACGCGACGATTTGACTCAGGCGGAGAAGGAGGCGCTGTATAAGCCTGTATGGACGGGGGGCGTAACTTATCGCGCTCTTATCGACGCGGAGGTGGTGAGGAAAGAGATGCCGAACCACTCCGTGTTCGAGTCGCCTATTTTGGTGGGTCTTTAAGCCTTTCATACTATGCTTCATTTGTTTCTGATGTCTATTTTTTCTCCTACAGTATGGCGGAAAGAATAAGGTATGTGTTAATATCCTGTCATGCTAGAATCGCCTCACCCGGAATCGTGTTCGTCGGCAGCACGTTATTCTTTATGCCATTTCTGGAGGGAAGATCATCAACGCCGTGCCCTTCTTTATTGATCCTACCAAAGACGGGACGCAGTACGAGGGCCAGGTCGTTGTAGAGGAGACAACCGATGACATCCCCGCAGTATATGCGGGGTGGGAGGATGAAGTGCAAATCATCATTAAGGTGTGGATGCTCCATTGCCTATCAGGATCCAGGACTCACCGGCACCGGTGCACTGTAGAACATAACCAAGGCTTCGCGTTGGGCGATCCAACAGGTTAAGCCATTAGATAGCTACGTCTCCGGTCGTGTGGGCCTTTTGGGAGATGCCGTACGTTGTCTTCTCAGTCGGACAGTGGTTCTTCTATGGTGACGATTTTCATTCCAGGCGCACGCAATGCCACCCCATCTAGGCAACGGTGCCGGTCAAGCAATCGAGGTACACCCCTACTCTCTCCCCCTCCCCAACACCCAGCTCACCAAATTCCATAGGACGCGTTCATCCTCGCTAACCTCATATCCAAGGACGTCCGCTCTCCCAATCCCAACCCCGCACGGGCCCTCGAGGTCTACGACACCATCCGCCAGCCCTTCGGCAACTTCGTCGCGAGAGCGTCGAAGCACCAGGGCAATTTGGACGACTTTGTCGTGCCGGGATTCGAGGACCTCAAGGAGGGGCAGGAGCTCCCCCCAGAGACGCTCAAGAAGCACGGGGAGGCGCTGGATAAGGGTTGGGAGTGGACCTGGACGACATCGTTGATGGGTGATTTGGAGAAGGCACTTGCGATGCTCTGATTTACAAGTAGTAGAAGGGGGATTGTCTGTACATCTTCATGTATCATTTTCTGGAGTTCTACGTATGCTGTTAAATAACATATGTTTTGGTATTCTCTGTGCAAAACTGGATCTTTGACCAATGTCTCTAGATATTATTCACATATGAAGTGCGTAAAATTCTTACTTCAAATTTCAAGTAGGGATGACATCGTAAAGAGGTGTTCATCCTCACTCAGTCTAAACGGCGGTCGTTGGGGACCAATGCCCATAGGACCATCAAGAAGCCCATCATCGAGACCAATCTGGAGGGAATTGGAGTAAGAAGAGGAGCTTTTCGTCAGCATCGTGCGTGACCACAAGATGCCCAAATGGATATTACTCACAAAGGCTGCAGACTCTTAAGCCCGCGACTGGAGGCGATGGCTCCAGTTATGAACGGCAGAAGGGCGCTTCCTGCTTGACCGAACCCGGCTATCCACCCAATGGCACCTGTCAGAATCCGACGAGGCAGGATACGAGAAGTCTGGTTGATGGCGATCGGGCACATGGGGCCGAGCAGGACTCCGACGATGGAAACGGCCACTGCGTTCTGAATGAGGGATGGTACGAACCAGACGGTGATTTCCAAGCTGTGTACGTTCGATGACATGTCAATGATACCGTCTGGAGTAGCAGTCGAAGGAGGAAACAACTTACGCGATGGACAAAATTCCATACAGGAACAGAACTCGCCGTTCGCCAATCTTCTTGTTGACCCAGAGTAAGATGACACGACCAAGGGCAAGACCTGTTGTAAACTTTGTCAAGCTCAGTGGCCCAGTAAATTCCTCAGAATTTACTGACCTCCAAAGAAGCCAGACGCGATATAGCCAGACGATGGGCCACCTTCACGGACCTCAATGATGAAAGTGACAATCCAACCTAAGATAAGGATGTAAATAAATCAAAAAGCCTAGATAATCCTATAGGATCGGCTTCTTACCACCAATCGTGACCTCGACACCGACGTACACCAAGATGAAAAAGGCGACCAGATGAACCGCTTTGGTCGTCATAATTTGTTTGAATGCTCCTTTCTCGCCCTCTGAACTGTTTTCGGGAATTATTTCTCCTGCGTCCCGCAGACAATCTATATTGATAAGAAATCACGTAGCCACTCATTTGCAGACAAAGACGTACTTACCATCCTGATCCTTTAACTTGAAAACGAGCGCCAGGGTAGCCGTGTTCGAGATCGCGAGTCCCAGGGATGTTAGGAAATGGAAAGACCATCGAGGAAGTTGGGCGAATTGGGTGGCAACGAGAGGAGCAGCAAAAGCGCCGATGCCTAGAGTTTTGACCGTTTATCTCTGCCAGCGAAGGGACTATATGGGGTAATTTTTACCATAAACAGAGTGCAGGATACCCATTCTGGTTTCACTGTGCTTCAAGGTCGCCACGAAGCTGTTGGCTTGTGCGTCCTATAGTCAGGTCAGAGGAGGCCCACGGCGAGGAAAAGAATACGTACCTGAAGGGCAAGTCCGATCCCGTTAAGCGCGTACGCGAAAAAGAACACTGGAAAGGGAGGTGCGGAGCATTGTATGGCGTATGCGGCGACTTGGAAAAGACTGCCGAATACCAAGATCTATTCTCCGTGTTGGCATTCGTCCTCATCATCATCGGGAGATAAACACATACCTTCCCAAAACTCATCTTTCCTGTTAAATACATGTTAAGCAACGCGCCAGACACGAATCCCTGGGCTCAGATTGGTAAGTACGCTGAAAGGGAACTTCAAGTAGGAAAGAACTGACGACGCAGGCGAAGACAAAAGTCAAAGACACCAGAGCGGTTCCAACCTGCACACGACGTAAGTCTACACCCTCCATATAGTTGGGGTTGAAAGACAGAAACTCACGCCGTAAACCTCGCGTATCCGAGGCAATAAGGGTCCAATCGTTCCATCGTTCCATCCTAGGAGGAACAGCGTCCAACATAAGGTAAAAAACTGGACATGCGCCACTATCTTCTGTTTCCGGGTTCGTGATGTAGCAGTGGACGTCGTGGTCGCATTACGGGAAGCTGCTTCGTCATTCGCGAGCCCAGTGATTTGAGCCACATCGACTCTGGATTTCGAGGGAGAACGGGCGCTACGGGCGACAGAATGCACTGACGGCTCCGTTGATCTTCTCTTTGATGCAACGTCTTGGAGCTCGAAGGATGCGAGGGTCATGGCAGAAGAAGAGGTTTCTTGGTGAGGGTAAGAAGGCAAGAGCGACTTAAATGTGTAGGTGCGGGAAAGTTTCGCCGAAGTTACTCCGGCATCTTATGCTCGCCGGTCCGAGAGCCAGGGCTGTGACTCCCGCCAACGCTAACTAGGGCTGACGCAATTTAATCTGGAGTGTGTGAGTCTACGAGTCTGTAGAGGAGGAGCCGGACGCCACTGGGAACTTGATTATCTTGCAGGATGGTCTGTGGTTGCTGGGCCATCGAAGATGAAGGGCAGGGTGGGTGTATCTATTGCAGTTATGAAGTAGAAGTGATTCTAGATGGTCGCTCCGTGGATCTGGTCAAACGCTCAGACACAAGTCTCCGAACAACACCCTAAGCCAGCGTGCCACACATTCTAAATGTAGAACGCGATCTAGATTAAGCGCCCAACTGTCGTCGTCGATGGGGTAGTCTTCTCAACCTTGCACCTCTGCATAAACCCCAAAGTCAGAACGAGACCCTATATTGAACGATCTACGATGTCCAACTCATCTCGTAGTCATAAACCCGGGGTAGTTTTAATGCCTTTAACCGCATTTACACGAGTGCCTAGATCTGGCAGAACACGGACCAGTATATGGCGCAACGACTTTCAAAAAAGAGACTTCGAGCCCCACATATGTGCAAGGTAGCGTGACGCAGTGTCGAATAGAGGCTCCGAATTGATGCCAAATCTCGCTGTCCCATTAAGTAGACCCTGAAAAATGTATTGATGAGGTCAACCGAGAGACCCGGAAATGTCGCCTTCGCAGGAGGAGCGGAATTTGGGAGGTCTTTGTACCTCGCGGGTTTCTTGAAAACGATGACTCCAACCCGTGCGCTCGGTTTCATTCCAAACGTTCTTGCGGTTTAACAGATAGCATGTCGACCACGCAGAAACTCCGTATCGCAATTGCGTACGCTCTTCTCGCCCTTCAACCGGTTTGTTCACGATGAGCTGATCATGTCACCATGGGGGATTTCGTAGAGGAGGCGGGATCGGCGGTCTCGTTTTCGCGGTCGTCCTGAGCAAGCTGAACCTGGACGAGCACATCGAAATCGACGTGTACGAGTCTGCTGCGGAGCTGACGCAGCTTGGAGCGGGAATTGCGCTTTGGCCACGCGGATGGGAGATCCTCAAGACGCTGGGTCTGGAGAAAGACCTGGTCAACAAGTTGCCTCCTGGGACGTGGCCGCACAAGGAGGGCGGTGAGTGTTCAGGCCTTCCGGAAGTTGCAGGTTGGGGAACGGGGATTGGGTGTTGACCATTGCGCAGAGATAGCGTTTGCGTTTAGGAAGAGTGACATGAAAGAGGGTGTGCCGATCCTTGATATGAAGCCTGAAGGTACGAGTTCCTCGCTCTCGAAGGCATATTGATATACGAAGATTTCGACCCGAACGGCAGGCGGAAACTTTTTGTACCACCGCGCAGACGTACAACAGGTGCTCTTGAAGCGCATTTCTTCCACCACACGTTTCCATCTTTCCAGCCGACTCGTGTCGTACAAACGGCTCAATTCGCATGTTGAGCTCGCGTTCAAGGACGGGAAAACCGCGACGTGCGACCTCCTCGTGGGCGCCGATGGAATTAATTCTGCCGTGCGGAAGACGCTGCTGACGGAGGGTCTGCCAGAAGGTCTGAAGGAAGATGAGAAGAGGAAGATCTATGAGGCACCTTGGACTGGCGAGACCGTGTATCGCTGCTTGATCGATAGCGAGGTGATAAGGAAGATCGCGCCTGATCACCCTGGGTTGAAAGGGAGGGTGATGGTGAGTGGAATAACCAAGTTGATGTTGTGCGCGTGAGCCTTGCTGACATTTGATAAGTATTGTGGAAAAAACAAGGTAAGTAACACAAATCCCCGCGTTTACCCGCTCTCTCTCTCACCCTCGAATCAGCATCTCGTCGTATATCCTGTATCGCAAGGAAAGCTCCTCAATACCGTGCCCTTCGTCGCCGACCTCTCGAAATATGGGACCTTGCTGGACGGGTCGAATGTGACGGAGAATACTACGGATGACATCGCGTCGCTCTATGAAGGGTGGGAGGAGGGAGCAAAGTGCCTTGCTCAGAACATGAACAAGCCGACGAAGTGGCTGATCCAGGCCGTCACGCCTCTGGATAGATATGTTGGAGACAGGGTTGCTCTTCTCGGCGATGCGGTACGTGGCGAAAGGAAGATTCAGAGAAAGATGCTGAGGAAGGATGGTCTGCTCTGAAGGCACATGGAATGCCGCCTCATCTTGGGAATGGAGCAGGTCAAGCAATAGAGGTTCGTCATTGGCGCCTCCCTTTACATAATTGAGCATGCAAACGATAATCTCGCATTTTAGGATGCGTTAATCCTAGGAAACGCAATCGCGAAATCAGTACAATCAGGCACGGCCGACATCCCAAAGATCCTCGAAACGTACAACGCCATCCGACAACCCTTCGGCAACTTCGTAGCGCGCGAGACGAAACGTGCGGGCCTCTTGTACGACTTCACAGATGAAGCTGGGTTCGAAGGTTTGAGAGAGGGCGACAAGGTGTCTCTAGAGAGGCTGGCTGAGTTGGGGACTGAGATCAACGAGAAATGGGCTTGGACATGGACGGCATCTGCGCTGGACGATTTGAAGAAGGTGGAGGCAGCTTTTCAGTGAATTGCCAATGAAAAGCACAGAGCCATGCAAGGTGATGAAGTCTACGGTAGACGGTTGATGACGAACGAGTATGTACTTACACTTATCTCAAGGCAATGCATTCAAATATTAAATTAAGCATCCGCTATTCAGCGGGGGAAGGCTCGCTGCGCACACAGAGTTTCGCCAAGTCAGTTGTATGTAGTTCTCGAGTTCCTGCATAATGTACTATAGGACATCGATATAAGCCTAAGTATTTAGTCCACAACTGTCGAGACGATGCCGAAGATGTACATTAATCCACCATTCCACACAACTGATTGACAATCATCATCCCATCGGACAACTTGGTTCTGGAAAGGCCGATAGAGGTGTACCCTGTTGATAATCCCCCCTCTTCCTGACCCCATCCGATGTGAATCCTTAAGATGATGCATGAGAACGGCGCACCCAAGACGGCCTCAGAGCCTGAGTAGGGATGTTGTGTGCCAAATCTCGACAGCGGGAACAAAAACCCTGAATTTTTTTTGATACATGTATCAATTCCAGGAATCTAATTCCATTTCTACCTTAACAATAAGCAAACGGGGGCATTCTGAGGCGTATGAGAAAATCCGAGTAGTCCGGGGCCAAATTGATCTCGCGTAGAATTTGTATTTGTTTGTCCGGGCCTCCGCCGATAGATGCTCGCTTTGCTCGCAATAATGATGAACGCTGAACGTCAGAAATAGAGATGCCTTCTCCGGAACCAAAGTGGCGCCAAAAATACTGGACAAGCGATTGCTTGCAGAACACCTGGTGCCCAAGAAGCTTCTTGAGCCTTTATAAGGCCGACGTTCATAGTTCCCGCAATCACCCACTCCAGCCGCCAGCATGGCCTCAATCCAAGCGGCGTTAGCAAGCGCACATTCTGTGCCGATGCCGCCGAGCTCAGCGTGGGGCACATCCTCACCGCCCTTTCTGTGGTCTTTGTCATCTCGCGGATCATGGCGTATCGTCGGAAGTTGCAGGTATGCGGGATCTCTAGCATTGGTGTCGGTATTGGTGCTGAGACGGAACCACAGGCTGTGAGCAATGTGCCAGGATTTCGAGTGCCTTTCTATCCCCTCGGCGTACCTGGCTTTCTGCTACCTTCGACGTGGTGGAACCCTGCGATTCACTGGACGTGGAATTGGAGGCATACTGGTACGCATGAGCGCCTTTCTCCTAGAGGAAACCGTCCTCATTAGCTCCTCAAACAGTGTACAAGCAGTATGGAAACGACACGATATCTGTGGCACCCTTCGTCATCGGCCCAGCAAGTTTCTACTCCGCCAATCTCGATGTTGCACGGCAGGTTGCGGGCGGGGAACACAAGACAAGTTTCGTGAAGCCTAAAAAAGCCACCAGTGTACCCACCTACTCCATTTCTCTTGATGCGAGATTGACGCTCATTAGGCTTTGGGGCATGAACTTGGTCACGGCGGATGGGAACACCTGGAGGAACCACCGACGGATCATGGGCCCAGCTTTCAACCCCAAGTTGTGTGTATTAAATAATTGTCTTTTTTATATTATGACACAACTGATTGTCCCCACAGGTACGAATTGGTTTGGAAGCAAACACTGAACACGTACTATGTACGAGATGGTGGCTTCTGAGAAGTGGACGGATAAGAATGCAATCGAGGTGCCTACTGTCCAGGTGTTGACATTCAAGTTCGCCCTCTTAATCATCGCAAAATGCGGCTTCGGCCTCTCCTTCAACTGGGACCAGCCGCCGCGCGCAGGAGACGGGACCATGACCGTGCAAGCAGCCCTACGCACCGTGATCGACAACCACCTCCTCATGAACTTCCTCCCGAAATGGATCCAGAACCTCCCATTCAAAAAGCTCAACGAGACACGCGAGGCGAACGACCAGCTGATGGCGTTCATGCAGGACCAGGTCGAGCAGAGGAAGGCGGATATCCGGAGTAAAGTCCTGGGAAAGGAGACAGCGGCGGACGCGTTCACGATGCTAGTCGAGGCAAATGAAGACGAGGCCACGAAGCATAAGCTAGACGATGTTGAGCTGGTATGTGACCACCGCCCAATAGTGCTGTTGAATCCTAATACCTGACTAACTTTGTGCCCTGGTTGTAGATTGGCAACGTCTTCAACTTGCTCTTTGCTGGTCATGGTGCGCCCTCTCATTATTGGCAGGCAAGAGCTGTGTTCGACGTCCGTCGCAGAAACCACAGCGCATTCATTCGCCGCGACGCTTGCTTTCCTCAGTCTCCACCAAGGTATCCAAGAAGACGTTTACCAGCAGATCTTCTGTTCTTGGCCATGACCGCGATCCGGTGCGTGACTCAATTCTCTCCTCGCCTGTTCCATAACTCAACGTATCCAGACTCTCGAAGAATATAACAAACTCGACAAGGTCCTCTACGCATTCTACGAAGCACTGAGGATGGTCCGTACGTCCTCTCTGTCGTTCAACGGTCAAGTTGTATATATTGACATTGTGGCGTAAATGCAGCTTCTGGATTCCTCATGATCCGCGAGGCCTTCGAAGATACCGCCCTGCACGTACCGAACCCCGTTGGCCAAGAAGGAAGTACGACGTTGGCGGTACCCAAAGGCACACAGGTGCGTACATTAGGATTTACGCTGCTGAATGGAGGCATTGACGGATTTTGAAAGGTCATTGTTGATATGATTGGTGTTCGTAAGTGTTGACCCCTCTACTTTCCGGGGAGAGTGGGGGTTAACGCATAAGGGATATGTCTGCAGAGTACAATCCCCGCTACTTTGACGAACCGGAGAAATACAAGCCCTCGCGTTGGTATGGCGTGTCAAACGAGTCTGAGGCCTTCTCCGCCTTCAGCATTGGTCAGTATCGCTTTTCATCTCTACTTCTGCGTTCTCATCAACTTGTTTGCAGGTCCAAGAGCATGCCTCGGCCGCAAGTTCGCCGTCACCGAAGCTGTCGCCTTCCTCTCCGTCCTCCTGCGCGATTACAAGGTGAAGCCGATCTATTTACCCGGCGAGACGAAGGAGCAGTGGCAGGAACGCGTTCTTGTTGCGAATATTGTGCTTACGCTGGGTGTGTCGAACGTCCCGATTCAGTTAATTCGGAGGACAAGGGCTTAGGCCTAGGCGAGGAGGTTGGTTGAGATCTTATGTCGACTTACTTAGCTTCCTGTACTTGCTCTGCTTTGAGGTGTGGCTATTCAAATGATATTTTCCCTATTGTGCCATAGTTGGAGCTTATATCTCTGAAATCGCTGTTCTAGTTTTACACTTCCAAGTCCGGGTGACCTTGCATTTGGCATTCAACGTTCAGCTTGCATGCTGCTCGTTTGTAAGAAACGTCGGTCGGTGCTCATCTGCAAGATTCTGAATTTCGGTCACCAGCCTACATCGCCCTGCTCACTTCTGTATATCTGTTGACCGAATTGAGAACACAAGGTGGTGGAAGTTAGCAGGCGATTTAGTGAGGCTTCGACTCGGAGGTCTCCATGGCTGAACTGTTTATTTCAAATTTGAGGAGAAAGATATGAGAGCAGCGTAGGCACGGATAGTACTATTATCATTCAAAGCAGATCTAGCAGAGGCCTGAAGCACAGCGCGACACAATCCCAACAACCTCCAGTGCACCCCTTAAGTTCTACGCCCTCGTCCTCCGAACAAACCTAATTGGCACATTCGAAACCCCAAGCGTAAGCACAATATTGCGCAGAAAGCACGCGGTCCTGCCACTGCTCTTTCGTCTCGCCGGGCTGGTAGATAGGCTCGACCCTGTAGTCACGTAGGAGAACTGAGAGGAATGCGACGGCTTCGGTGGTGGCGAACTTGCGGCCAATGCATGCGCGTGGACCTACACAAGAAGCATGGGTTGAAGTTGAGATTCAGAGTTGTGGAGAGAGAGAAGGAAGGTGGAACCAAGTACTGACCGATGCTGAACGCCGAGAACGCCTCAGACTCGTTCGACACACCGTACCACCGTGAAGGCTTGTACTTCTCCGGCTCGTCGAAGTAGCGTGGGTTGTACTCTGTCAACACATTCGTCAACTCCTGCCTTCTCGGAGCAACTAGAGAAATAAGAATAACACTCACGAACGCCAATCATGTCAACAACAACCTTTGCAAAACAACTCCATCAGCACCCTCAGTCAACAGCAAATGGCCCAAACCACGCACCTGCGTGCCCTTGGGCACCGCCAACGTCGTGTTACCTTCTTGTCCTACGGGATTCGGTACATGTAGAACTGTATCCTCAAAGGCTTCGCGGATCATGACGTATCCAGCAGCTGCATTTACACCACAATATCATTATACAATTTGACCGCTGAACGACAAGAGAAGGGACGTACGGAACATCCTCAGGGCTTCATAAAAAGCGCAGAGGACTTTGTCAAGCTTGTTATATTCTTCAAGAGTCTATGGACGGCCTCGTTCAGAAAAAAGCAAGGGGGAAGCAAGGACCAGTATACTGACCGGATCGCGATCGTGGCCTAGGACTGAGAAAACCTGCTGGTACACGTCGTCTTGGATGTCTTGGTGAAGACCGAGGAAGGCAAGCGTGGCGGCGAATGTATGCGCTGTGGTTTCTGCGACGGAGGTCAGCCACGGTTCCTGCTCACCAATCACGAAGGAGCGTACCATGTCCTGCAAAGAGTAATACGAAGACATTGCCAATCTACAACCAAAGCATGGGAGTCGTTAGATTTCAAGATTCAGCAACCACTGGAGGGTCACATACCAGCTCAACATCATCCAACCTATACTTCGCCACCTCATCCTCATTCGCCTTGACGAGCATCGTAAACGCATCCGCCGCTGTCTCCTGCTCTGGTCCCTTATCACGGATATCGGCCCTCCTCTGCGCGACCTGGTCGTGCATGAACGTCATCAGCTGGTCGCGCGCCTCGCGTATCTCCTTGAGCTTTTTGAACGGCAGGTTCTGGATCCATTTCGGGAGGAAGATCATGAGCATGTGGTGATCGGCCACGATACGCAGGGCTTCTTGAACGGTCATCGTCCCGTCTGCGGCTCGAGGCGGGTCCTCCCAGTTGAAGGAGAAGCCGAAGCCGCATTTCGCGATGATGAGGAGGGCGAGCTTGAAGGTCAATAGCTGGACGGTAGGAACCTCGATCTCTTTCTTATCTGACCACTTCTCAGCAGCCACCATTTCATAGTATGTATTCAGCGTTTGCTTCCAAACCAGCTCATACCTGCAGGAAACATGAGTGCCGTCATAGGACGAAATGATAGAGCACTCACAACTTAGAGTTGAAAGCCGGGCCCATGATCCGTCGGTGGTTCCTCCAGGTGTTCCCATCCGCCGTGACCAAGTTCATGCCCCAAAGTCTATCGAACATTCATATTTAATCTCAATCCCGCATCAAGAGAAATGACGTAGTGCGTACAGGAGCGCCTTGCTGGCCTCTTTAGGCTTGACGAAGCTCGTCTTGTGTCCTCCTCCCGCGACCTGTCTCGCAATATCGAGATTGGCAGTGTAGAAACCCGCTGGGCCAACGACGAAGGGTGCCACGGAGATCGTGTCGTTGCCATACTGCTTGTACACTGTTCCAGGGACGAATGAGGGCGGTCTCCTCTAGGAGAAAAGGGCCCATGCGTACCGGTATGCCTCCAATTCCACGCCCAGTAAATCGCAGGGTTCCACCATGTCGTGGGGAGCAGAGCACCAGGTGCGCCGAGGGGATAGAAAGGCACTCGAAATCCTGGCACACTGCTCACAGCCTGTGGTTCCGTCTCAGCACCAATACCGACACCAATGCTAGAGATCCCGCATACCTGCAACTTCCGACGATACGCCACGATCCGCGAGACGAGAAAGACCACAGAGAGGGTGGTGAGGACATGCCTCACGCTGAGCTCGCTGGCATCGAGCACAGAACGTGCGTTAGTCAATGCCGCTTGGATTGAGGCCATGCTGGCGGCCTGTGAGTAGGTGATTGCGGGAACTGTGAATGAAGAGCCTTATAAAGAGTCTTCTTGGGCCCCAAGTGGTCAGCAACCAATCGCGTGGCCAGCATTTACGGGACTGGAGACCGTCATTCACCTTTCAGGTTCGATTCGAGTTCTTGAATTCCTTCTTCATATGTTACATGAGAGGGTAAGGGAATAGAAAGTGGTGGATAGTGGAAAATGAAGCATAAAGATTGTTTAGTGGAGACTCTGGGAAATGTTGAACCTCGGCCGCCAGGCGTTTCGCAGCATTCCATTACTTCAATAACGCGCTGATAGACTTTGCCTTGACCCAACTAAAAGGCAGACGCCACCTTCTCCAAATCATCTAATGCAGGACCATGCCCATTCCTCGTTTATCTCCTTCCCAAGTTTGGCTAACCTCTCTGACGACACTGTGTCTCCCTCTCGGATGCCTTCGAATCCAACAGCGTCGGTGAGCTCGTACAGGAGGCCCGTGTTCCTCGTTTCGCGAGCCACGAAGCTGCCGAAGGGCTGTCGGATGGCCTTGTATGTCTCCAAGATCTTTGGGATGTCAACCTTTCCTGGCTGGACAGATTTCGCAATCGTGTTGCTTAGAATTGAGGCGTCCTACAGGTGTCGGCCATGATCAGCAACGGTAACTGCTCTAGGAGCACGAAAGGAAGATCCTCGAATGCTTGACCGGCCCCGTTCCCAAGATGAGGACGCATCCCGAGAGCCTACAAGCAAACCACTCAGATTCTCCATCCACCATCTTCTTTAGAGTTGCCGCCACCACTCACTGCATCTCCAAGAAGCGCAATTCTCCCTTCAACATAATTGTCTAGTGGAGTTACAGCCTGGATCGCCCACTTCGACGGCCGATCCATGTTCTTCACGAGACACTGCGCGACCTCTCTCCCCCCTTCGAAGAAAGACGCGATGTCATCTTCGTGTTATCTGTAACCGCTGGTCCATTGAGCAGCGTCCCAGTACGTGTAGCTCGCCCTGTCCCTGCCGTAATACTGAAGAACCCATCAGCTGGCCGACCACTCAACATCTGTTATTTAACTTACCACCATCCCGCCCTTCAATGCCGGATGGTCAAGATTGATCTTCTTAATCACCTCACTCTCTGGCTTGCTTCCGCTTAACAAAGTCTTCCGCACCCCAGAGTTAATACCATCGGCCCCGACAAGGAGGTCGCAAGTCGCGGTCCTCCCATCCTTGAACAAGAGCTCGATGTGCATTCCGGCGTCTTTGTAGGAGACGAGCCGGCTGGAGAGGTGGAATCGCGTGGCCGGTGTGATGTGTTTGAGGAGGACGTCGTGGGCGTCTGCTCGGTGGAAGGAATAGTTTTTGGGCCTGTTGTGAGAATTTGTAACCCCGATGTTGGTGAAAACAAAAGTATTGCGAAGTGCGTACCTTCCGGGATGAGGTTGAAGAACGGCACGCCCTCTCGCATATCGCTCTTCTCAGACGCAAGTGCTACCGCTATACACCTCTCAGCCTTTCACACACATCCAGAACGAAAGGCTTGAGGACTCACTCCCACCCTTGGGCGGCCACCCACCCTCGTGCAACCTTTTTACAAGGTCGTCCTCAAGGCCGAGCGACTTGAACACCTCCCACACTCGCGGCCACAGCATGATGCCTGCACCGACCTGGGACTTTCCAATTCACTTTTTTCTGGAGTGGTCCGCCTCCACCATTCTTCCTCGAATCGGAGTGATCTCGAAGAGTCGGCACCCAATAGATTAGCTGATCATGCACTCAGCTTATGAATGATAGTGAGACGAAGATAACTCTCTGACGCGATGGCGAAGGTTTTCGCTGTTAGCGGAACGGAGCTCTAAATTTAGCCTATCGGCAGGAAGTCTATATTTAGAATATGTGGCACACTGAGTCAGTGTGAGACCTGGAGAATAAAATTACAGATAAACGTTGAGAATGGCGTGATTTAGATGAGACAAGAGACTAAGTATTTAGGCACCTCGCTTTGGTCGCTTCCTCGCTGCCCTCCCCTGACTTGAGATCCCCAAGCCGAGGGCAACAACTGCAGCTCTTCATGCAGTATGGCTACACTGAGCTTACCGTGAGGATTTACATAAACGAAAGGATTCGCAAATCAAACTCGTCCGTCTTCGATGGATTTATCTGAGAATATTATTTATTCACTTGCAGGAAGACCTCAAGCTCTTCCCGATCTTCTCAACACCGGTCCGCCGCGACTCACGTGCAGTCAAACAGCAAATCTAGGTCTCCTGCCAACCGATACATGTAGTATGTACAAGAGGTAACTGAGGTAACATCAATCGCCCGGCACTCTTGTTGTCGTTGTTTTTACCGTAATCATGCGACACTTTTGTATTGAGATGGCTGCATGCTTAACGTTCTCAAGAAAAGATAAGCAGTGTGACATTCGCTTCGTCAATTCAGTAAAGTATAATACAATGTCAGTGTGTAGCTTGCCCGACGTCTTCTTGAAATTGAAGCAGGAGATCTAGACGACAAACGTCTCTGCTGTCCTAATCCGTCCTAATTTTTGGGCTTGGCTCCTACATGTCCTCACGTGATGTGAAGGTGTCTGTCCACATGCCTGATGAGCAACTTTTGTGTTTACCAAGTTCATCTTCCTTCGCTATTCATCTAACTCCAACATACTTGATCTTCTCGAGGAGGTCAGCCTCTCATACCAGAAGCTCGAAGGGACTCCCGATGCTTGTGATATTGCAACCCGCTCTTTTGCGAGGCTTCCGAGCACACGGTCCTCTGTGGAGCTATCGAACATGTATTCCTTCTTTTCTAGTTTAGCTGATCGTACTTCCTCCAAAACCCAATCTCATGGGACAAGCGTCGTCCTGGACCTTGGCTTGAACTGTGCCTCCGCCAATTTCTTTTTGGGTTTGACTTCGAGCCTGACGTCCCAACCCGTGATGCGCTCAACTGCTAGACGATAATATTTGGATGTATCCTATGGAAGGTATAAATACGCGTCTTTGAAGGTAGGTCCTCCTTGGGTGTGTTGCTGAGATCTCACGCTCATCATGATCTCTCCATTGCTATTCACGATCACTATTCATGTCCTCTCCGCCCTTGCTGCTCCTCTTGCAGGGCCCTCAATTACGATCGATGGTGCGACCTTCCAAGGAACGGTTTCTGGCACAACAGAGAAGTTCCTGGGTGTCCCTTTTGCCCAACCTCCGTGTGTTCTACTCTCCGCTCCTTGCAGATCTTGTTTTCTCACCAAAGTGCTAGCATTGGCAATCTTCGCTACCGCTTGCCTCAGCCTATCACCTACTCCGCGGGCACCTATGATGCCACAGAATATGGACCTGCCTGCGGCCAGCAAGTCGTCAGGCTACCACTCAATGGCATAGTTGGTGACATCGCCAACGCCATTGTGGAAACAGCTTTTGGGAAAATCTTTCCTGACAACGAAGATTGTACGTTCATCTCAATTTTTTTTTGCGTCCCGAAATTAATTCCTTTTTCTGACTAGGCTTGACGGTGAACATTGTCAGGCCTAAGGGCACGCTTCCGACAGCGAAGCTTCCTGTCGTTGTCTGGATCTTTGGCGGTATGTCTACCTGTCATGGTGTTTACGAGATGATAGTGAATAGTGATAATCCATTGTTTTTATAAGGTGGCTTTCAACTCGGATCACCATCGATGTATGATGGCGGAGTCGTTGTTGATCGGTCCTTGCAGCTCTCACAACCTGTTGTATATGTCAGCATGAACTACAGGTTGACAGGTACGTCTTTTGACAATTTCGACATCCCAGAATCTCACCGAACAACCCCAGGCTTCGGGTTCCTTGCGAGTCAGGAAGTTAAAGATGCTGGAGTCGGCAACCTCGGACTTCATGATCGTATGTCATAGCTCAATATCAAAAATTCCCCACCCTAACAACCTTGCCTATAGAGCGCCAGGCGTTGAGATGGGTGAACAAGTACATCAGCCAATTTGGTGGGGACCCTACCAAAGTTACAATGTACGTCATTGACTCTACTGTATTTTAACCGTCTATTGAGTCGCTCACCTTAGTTGGGGGCAATCCGCCGGCGCTATATCCGTGTCCTTGCAGATGCTTGCCAACGGCGGAAACACCGAGGGTTTGTTCCGGGCTGCCTTCATGCAATCCGGCGCTCCTGTTCCCGTCGGAGATATCGCCAACGGTCAACCATATTACGACGCCCTCGTCCGGGAAACTGGATGTGCTGGTTCGGCTGACACCCTCCAATGCTTGAGGACTGTTCCATACGCCACTTTGAAGGAAGCCATCAATAATTCTCCTGGCGTTTTCAGCTACCAGGTACGTAACATTTTCTTACCTCTACATTGTACGATATTTGAACTCTTATCCAGTCTTTGAGGCTTGCTTGGTTACCGCGTGTTGATGGGGTGCTCCTAACTGATCAACCTCAACGGCTTGTGCAGCAAGGCAAGGTAGCGAAAATACCTTATATCACTGGCAATTGTGACGACGAAGGCACCCTGTTCTCGCTGCCGACTCTGAACATCACGTAAGTTTGTCAAACCAGAAGATTTGCACCGTTTGAATTGTTGCTATACAGTACTACCACGCAATTCAAGAATTACATCAAGAACACGTTCCTCACCGGCATTACCGACGCTCAGGTCAATAGAATTGCCGAGTTGTATCCCCCCGATATCACCAAAGGCTCTCCTTTCGACACCGGCATTCTCAACGCTGTGACTCCTCAATTCAAACGTTTGTCGGCCTTCTTCGGAGACGGTGTGTTCCAGGCTCCACGTCGATGGCTTCTCGATCACACAGCTGGCAAACAAGACGTGTGGGCATATGGTAAATTTCATATCGAGTATTCCTGGATTGTTTCTGAGCTGTCGTACAGTCAGCAAACGTTTCAAGGTTATCCCTGTTCTAGGATCTTTGCACGCACACGATATCCTCAATTATGCCGGAGGAGACATGGGGGACCACCTTATCCGCTTCGCCAATAATCTCAACCCCAACGGGCCGTCCGGCTACCAGTGGCCGAAGTACACCCTTGCCACCCGCCAGCTCGCCACCTATCGCGATGGCCTCGTCAAATTATCGACCTCAACCGATAATTACAGGAAGGAGGCCATGGAATACATTAATGCGGCCAGTCTTGAAAATCCTGTCTAATTCCCACGGTCCTACGATTCACGGTTGGAAGCCGACTGATACGAATTGAAATGTATTTATGCACTCGTTGTCATGTCCTTACGCGCAAAATGTTCGCAATTACGGAGGTTAAGTGCAGACCAAGCAAGCCTAACCAATTAGGAATTCATTGCCTCATTTGGACTCATGCCTCAGCTATTTCGCTAATCGTCCTTCAATTTCGGTTCGAACCTCGGCTTGCTTACTGTGGTTAACGTCAACATTGCTCGAAGCCTGAGGATCTTGAGTGGCCAAGCTCCAAGCCCCAAGGCTTAAGCGGTGTCACCTTAAAATCTCTACCACTGGGCCGAACGACGAAGCTCTTCGAATTGGTGATAACCCGGCCGCGCCAGATCTTCTGTTCGCAGATTACAGCTCAGATCATCGCGGTTGTGCCTGCCCTCTCGAACTAAACAATAACCAAGTCTCATATGTATGTTACCCTAACTTCTTATCCCTCTCTCACGCCATATCATCTCATCCAGCTTAAATGAACACCATATGGTAGGCTCTCCACGCCGTGGATTCTTTGAGTACGGCGGCCGACGTTTTCTGAGCTTGTAGTCAACCAGATGCTAGCGTTATCTCAGACTCACCTGAGAACCACTAATTAACTACGCCGACTCCGCCCAAAACCATGGCGCTCCACATCAATAGCTGACGGCATGGGCCACATTCAACCTTTGAATGCTTTTCTGTGGAAGCCCATGGTAGTTACGCTGCTGCAGCGTGCTAACGGCGGACGTCTGTGAGTTGTGGAAACCTCTGACGTTAAGTAGTAAGTACTTATCTGTATGTTTGGTCGGCCTTGGAAGGAGGTCGGGCCAAATGGACGGAGGTCGGGCTTGCGCCACGCTTGCAGTGGGGAGTTCAAAGAACCCGCTTTTCATGTAAGCCGCCACGCTCAACTTATTGGTGGTGAGGAAAGTCGCCGATTAGTGGTCGGCTGTGACGTCACGTGTGACTTGCATATCCTCACCACCAGTTCAATTGGCCAGTCGTCACTTACCAGTCACCCAGTGTGCCCGTTGTTCAGTCGTTCAGTCGTTAAGAGATCCGTACATTCTCCTGGCGCGTCTGGTACGATAAATATTGCGCTCTAAGACACCACGCCGGCCACAGTCATGACTTATGCGCCTCAAAACCCTGTCGACGTGCCCCCCTTTCAACTACAAAGACTGGTCCAGGAGGTGCTTGAACCTAGCGTATCTGGGAGGGCTCAAGTTCGCTGTGCTCAGGCGCTAGGTGAGCACATTGCTTTAGCATCTCCCGAGTCATATAGGCTAACGTGCTTGTTCTCCATAGGATCTGAGATATACGTCGGTTGCTCGGATGGCGGGCTCCTTCGATATGCACTTCAAGCCGACGACCCAACCAAGGTAGGCTGCACTGCTCTGTAGATGGTTTATCTTCCATTGATTTATTCCTTGCAACACCCAGCTCGAGTCATACACGATCCTGTCCCGACAATCCGTCCCAGGAGAGAAGCCCGTGGACGAGATCGTCCTCATCCCAAGTCTGTCGCGGGCATTGGTGTTATCCGGTACTTCAGTACATTATCTTCTTCTCCAGAACCGTGTGTTCATGTCTCATTTCCACCACCTTCTTTTCAGACCACCAAATCCATTTCTACACAATCCCCTCGCTCGACCCGTACCCAATCAAGCCGATACGACATGCTATCACGTTTGCAGTCGACGACCATCACTTGAAGCGGCCGTCACCGTCTTCTGCCCCTCCTGGAGTATCAATCCCAATCGACCCGGTGGATTTTTGCGTCATTAAAAGGAATAGCATCGCGATGTATGTGTTGAAGGACCGGCTAATCTATCAGAAAGTGCGTATCCTTACCTGGTCCTGCTTTGAGCTTCACTCACAATTCATCTTCCCAAAGGAAATCCCACTGCCTCAAGGTGCCTCTCTCGCCCGACGAGCAGGCCGCTCGCTGTGCATCTGTGACAAGACATATTATAGCATGGTCGACTTGGAAGATGCCTCAATGTTTCAGCTCCTTCCTCTATCACAGGCGTTCGATCCGACGCCCTTCGTTGTCAAGCCCTCGATTACGGTCATCAGTCCAAACGAGTTCCTCATCTTGTCGTGGACGGGCGCGAGCACCCTTGGCTTGTTCATCACGGGGGCCGGAGATCCAGTTAGAGGCACGTTGGAGTGGCCAAGCCATCCAGAGGCAGTTTGTGCGTCTTAAAGATCATTCTCTCAAAAATCGCCACTAAAATTGGTTCTTTATTCAAAGGTTTGGATTACCCTTACATCACCTCTCTCCTCCCCAACAACACCATAGAGATCCACAGCGTCGAGACACAGTCCATCGTCCAAGTCATCGGTGCCCCTCTCTCATCTACGTCGTCATCCAAGGCCTCTTCCCCAGTAAAGCCCTCGACGCACTCTCGGGGCGCCTCTTCCGGGTCAAGATCTATCGATCTGGACACAGCTCGCCGGACGAACCTCGTCTCCAGCGTCAGCGGTTACCTCGTGCCCTCCACACAAAGGTCGGATAAGATGCGGCCTGTCTCTGTCAAGTTAATCCGGACTTAGGGAAGGAAGGAAGGCTGCTTACTTCTCATCGGTATCACGAACGTGTGGGACTGCGCATTTATTTCCTGTAGGGCTATGCCTTTTTGTTTTCTATTGCCAGATGGCTCCACTTGGGTGTATGCGGTCCAGTGGCGCTGTATAGGCGTTAATTAATTTCGTTAGGCGCTGGATGGCCCAGAGCACGGTCCTAGGACCCGTCTTGTGCGTTTGTTTGTTGTTGGGCGTTGCGAGAAGACCCAGAAGCACAACACTCCTGAAAGCCTAGCCGCCTTACCCTTGAGGTACGTGCCAACTTTATTCTGGCGTGTCTTAGGTTGATGAGTCGTTCCTATTAGGACATTTTAAAGGCTGATATTCAGAGTTTTGAGCCTCTCTCAAGTTCCATCTGCTTTCGTAAGGGAAGACCTTCTTGCTGAAGAGACCTATGAGCATTGTTCACATTTCCAACACGCGTCGCTGACTATTTGAGGACCTACCTGAGTATAACGAGTTTAGTTCTGCAACTCCTTCACGTTGCGACATGGAAGCACTCCCCGTGTAAGCATCCTTTCATTCTCGATCTGAAAATTCATTTAATTCTCTGTTTTAGGCCCAACTTCTTGCCCGTATGGCACTAGACGATACGAGGACTGGCTTCAGCTTCTGCCCAGTCGCCTTCCGTGGCTTTTCCGCAGTGACAGACTGGCCTCGGAACCGGCAAACAATCATTTACCTTGTCTTTCTTTTCTGGACAGCCTTCCTCGTTTCTGAAACCAAGACGATCGTCGACCACGCATCCTCCTCATGTTCGCCTTGCCGCGATTATCATTCGCATATGTCGAGCCAATCACAATAACCCATCATCCCATTGACTGCGCACTCCTGACGTGGGGTCCAGCAAGACCCGCAATTATGCTGCAATTATTCCTAGCCACTCCTGCCAACGTCGCTGTATGTACGTGTTCATTCCCCTCTTAATTGCATATACTGATAAGCGCCCCGTCATTTCGGTGTTAGGTTCCTTTCGGTTTTGTGCACGCGTAATGCAACCCCTGCTTTTTGGACCGTCCTCGTGGCGGGGTATAGAGGTAAAATATGCCTTTGTTTTTCGCTTCTAGTCAATAACCACGCATATATCTAATAGACTCTTCCCGTTTGCGATAAAGACGTGTCAGATAAGCATCATGGGCCCTCTTGCCATTCGGCCGTCTGCGCACGAAAGAGGAAGGGCATGCACGTTGCTATTACTGTACCACTGACACTTGCATGGAAGATGTCCTAGGTACCCTTCTGCTCTTTCACCGCTGGGCATCGCGTACAAGGCATCGAGCTCGAGGCAGCCGCGTGTTTATTGCGTCTGTTCAAATATCCCACAGCCTGTCGGAGTCAGAGGCAGGCTGTTCGTACGAGCGGCTTTGCAGCACTGGTCCGGGAACATTCAGGCTGTACATCTACACGTTTTGGCGCCTTGCTTCGCGGGATATATTTTGGACCGCCCTGATACTGGATTCCTTTGCAGGCCTTTTAAATGCTTGAATCTCTCTTCACAATCGGCATCGCTACTTGGAGATTTTTCGTCGCTAAGTACGCCTTTCGCTTTGCTTTTCTCCTAGTACTTCGGCAGCTTACCCCCATGCCGCAGACCCATCAACGCTATGGTGAATATCCTCAAGGCAGTCATCAAGTTCCTGTGGCCGGAGCAGGAATCGAAACAATTCGCAGCGAAGGCCAAGCGGCTCCTTCAAGAGGGTAAATATACGGAGGGCATCTCGCTCTACCAGAAGGCCCTCGACGCCAGTAAACCCAAGTACAGCACCTACTCCGTGATCGTGTTCAACTACGCCATGGCACTCGACCATAGCAAGGCAGATGATCGACAAAAGGCCCTGGAGCTCTTCGGGAAGGCGTTTGCGGTGGAAAAAGACGTCCGATCGAAGGCATTCTCGCCATTGCTCCTGAACTATGGTTTCTTGTCAATCGACCACGCGAGAGCGACGAAGACGACAGCTGTTCTTGACGACATCGTGGGCAAATATCTGCCCCTCGTCGAGGGTAATTCAACTGGAACCCCGGCACGAAACGCCCACTACGTCCTCGGTACCGTGCTCTGGGTCCATCGGGAGATCGACGCAGGGAGCGATGTAGCCCAGCTGGGCGAAGCAATTACGCACCTAGAGCGCGCGGTTGAGCTCTCGAAGGAGGACAACAACTCGCTTTCACGTTGTCTCCAAAGTCTCGCCAATGCGTACAATCATCGGTACGAGTCCGGCAAGGACACTGCGGACCTGATGAAGGCCATTGAGAACAACACGCGTGCTATCGACGTGCTTCGGACGCTGAAGAACAAAGAATCGGATATAGTGTTGACACGGTATAACCTCGCGAGGCAGCACTTTGCAAAATACCTCGAGCAGAGCAGGAAGAAGGAAGACTTGGACGAAGCACAGAGGGTTGCGAAGGAGGCGAAAGAGTTGGCGACAGGGATTGAGGAAGAAAATCGGGATCTTGAGCAGCTTTTGAGAGTTATTGCGGCCCACCAGAGACGCGATAGCACGATGATGACTACGGCGTCTGGTGTTGCATAAATTTCTGACTTTCGCTACAAGCTTGTCTCTGTTGCCGTCTTCATACAATCATTATATGCGTTTCTCTCAACTTGTACTGTGCACGCCGTGGAGGAATCAGATGCTATCAGACGAGGAAAGAGTGCAATAAGCCGCGCGTTAAAATAACTAATAGTACAGAAAATTACAGACAGATGAAGATGAGGCCAATAAAATAAGCAATCAGAACCCCAAAAATCTAAGCCTCCTGGCTCTCCTTCTTGCCCTTTCCTGTCTTCGTGGGCAGTAGCTCGGGAGCGATATGGGGGACAACACCACCCTGCGAGATAACAACATCACCGAGGAGCTTGCCAAGTCTGGAGAAAGTGGTCAGCAAAAAGGCTGGCGAAGTATGAATGCGACAACGTACTCCTCGTCATTTCTGATGGCTAATTGGAGATGGCGGGGCACAATACGATGCTTCTTGTTGTCGCGGGCAGCATTGCCGGCGAGTTCGAGGATTTCAGCGGCAAGGTATTCGAGAACGGCAGCTAGGTAAACTGTGGCACAAGTCAGAATGTGTACTAACAAACTGGTGCTGACGTGACTCACCTGGGGCACCGGCACCGACACGCTGAGCGTAGTTGCCTCTCTTGAGGAGACGGTGGACACGACCAACGGGGAATTGGAGGCCAGCCTTGGAGGAGCGCGACTGTGACTTGCCAGTGGGTTCCCCACCAGCAGCCTTGCCAGACTTGGATTTGCCGCCGACTTTGCCAGACATGTTGATTGTGTTGGGACGAGTGGTGGTGGTGGTGAAGTGTTGTTGTGGTGGTGGGGAGGGGCAATGATAGGGTGGAGGATAAGCGAAAAGTCGCGCCGTATTTATAGCCGGCGCGACCAAACATTGCGATCAACAAAGACGCGTTGACTCGTGAGCGCGTCAGGACCAAATAGTGCCAAAGTCACGTGTAGCTATATATACTCCAGCCCGTTTACTCACTGCTGATCCACAAACTTCCCTTCGAACCACCACCACCGTATCGCCTCTCGCCATTTTCTTCCACCACCACCACCTAATCATCACTAATGGCCCCTAAGCCCGCGTCTACTGCCGGAAAGGCCCCTGCTTCCACCGCGTCCAAGGCACCAGCAAAGTCTACCGAAGGTGCGAAGGCGGCCAAGAAGACCAGCAAGGCCGCAGCGCCCGCTGACGGCGAGAAGAAGAAGAGAAAGAAGGTCCGAAAGGAGACTTACTCCTCCTACATCTACAAGGGTGAGTGGCCCTCAATGATATGCCACCTTGTGCTTGCTTGACTCACTTGCTGTTTCTTCCTTATCTAGTCCTCAAGCAGGTCCACCCTGATACGGGTATCTCAAACAAGGCCATGGCCATCCTCAACTCCTTCGTCAACGATATCTTCGAACGTATTGCTACTGAGGCTTCTAGTAAGTCTTAATCCCTTTACGCGTCTTTTTACTTTTACTTACGCGTCTTCCTTCTCAGAACTCGCTGCTTATTCGAAGAAGTCCACCATCTCCTCTCGTGAAATCCAAACGTCCGTTCGTCTCATCCTCCCTGGTGAACTCGCCAAGCATGCCATCTCAGAGGGTACCAAGTCGGTGACGAGTGCGTATCATCCTTATCGTGTCCTTGATCCGTTGCTTATTCCAATCTTTAGAGTTCTCGTCTGCGGGTGCCAAGTAGATTTCTTTCTTGCGGAGTTCTGGTTTTCATTTGTTATCCTCATCTCATTGTACCATCAGTGTATACGTCGCCATTTTTAATCTATTCTGTATTTGCTGCCTTGCATTAATCCTTTTTGTTAGTGAACTATGAGCTCCATAGATCTGTTGGTGATAGGATTTGTTTCACCTCTTCACCCTCGAAGAACTTCATCCTATTTGTGATGCCAATCGTCTGACTTTGCCCATCGCAAGTGCCTCAAATTCTCGATGCTCTTGTCTTCCGAATGGCTTAATTGAACACCGTGTAGGGCCCTAGACATGTGAGACTATGGGATCTGTTTTCTGTTTTCTGTTTGCCGTATAACTAGTAAGTGGTTGTAGTTGTTCAATATCCTCATTGCTAACGGCGACGTGATGTAGGCTACCAGTGTTCTATTCACCCCTTGCCATCTGAGGATAGCTCAGGCTTATCCGCATGACCCAGCGAACGTTTTCTCAAAAGGAGCCCTGTGTCGAGTTTGGATGACACTGATGACGATCGCTCATCGAGTGTTGGTTGCTGGTGACGCGTAAAGACTGAGTCTAACGGGCTAAGCTCTAGAATTGATGATGCCATTACATACAGTCATCCACCGGCCAATGAGACACCACCGGCTAATGATACACCTCGGAACACCATGAAGGATTCAACTGTTTGCTTTGAAAAAATAACCCCATTCTCTATAAGTCTTTAATACATTGTGTATAAAATTTTGTGGGTTCTGGTGAAGTCAATGCCCGGTAATAAAATCACCAAAATATTCATTTTGGTTGATTTTGTCACACCAGTCACTGGTACAGCATCTCTGGCTGTTTCTGCTCACGTTTGGTTGATTTTATGGCATACAACTGGTATAAATTTATTTTAATGGCTCTATTACACTGATTCCAAGTGGTTTTATGAGAATCCATGGGCTGGTTGAGTTCTGGGATCAAATTTAAATTTCAGTGTATCAAATGATGGTGGATGACTGTATTTCATGTTCTTCTTTATTTTTCTTATCTAGATAGCTTCTGGTCTGTTATAGCCTCAACGTAGCAACTCGCTCCATCGAACTTCTGAAATTGGCACCTTAGTACATTGAAGTATTTATTCCTCATGCAACTATTTTGGCAGGATAGAGAAGTCAAGAAGGCGTTGATACCTAATGCTGGAGTGGCAAATAAATACTACTCGGCCTGAATACTCATCCATGCAGAGTGAGGATACGTATCGACGAACAAATGGTAGGGTCTTCTGTGAAACAACACTATTCCCACCTTCTTCAGGCCATTGAATGCGATACAGGTCTGCTTCAGTGAAAAATATGTTGATGCCGAGATGATACCTGAAAGCATAGGGATGTTGGTCGGTCCTGTGGTGGAGAAGTTTCACTACATGGGGTTTCACGCCAGCCTCTTCGTCAAATATGGCGTCTGGAATAATGAGTCCATATATTCCAAACTCAGCAGCCATTAAGAAACGAGTCGATGACTTCATGGACATGGCTTCAGAAACAGACCTTTCTTTTAGGCCTGTGACCTGGCATGTCCAAAGCGGTTCCTGGGTCAGAAACCTCTGTTGAGATGGTATCTGTATTTCGGGGGTCGAGCGAAGGTCGTATATAGACAAGATCCTCTGGCCGCTGACAATGAACAATCTATTTGAAGGAAGAAAGGCAACCCTCTGCTCGTACAGGTGACATAAATAAACGGTGCCAAAAGTGTTTGAAGGCTCACATCAATGCTATCTTCTCTCACTACATGGCGCATCCAATAGTCTAGGTTCGTACCGTTGGCAGAACTCCAATTCACGATAATGACGAATGAGCCTCCAATGTTGGGGGGAGATGTGGCCGTGTATGCAATATGCGGACCATGTAGAAGAAAGAACTTGGGTTGTCCGGTGTATTTGCCTGGAAAATCTGAAATGCGGTGTGCGTGCAGACGATCTGTTCTGTTAGTTTCATTCTTCATCTTAGCTACCACCCGCCATATTTGAATTTGCTGAGTGTGTACCCCACGCCGTTGATGTAACAGACCAACGTTGAACGAAAGTGGCTGGCGCTGTCGGTCACTGTCGTCAACCAGGTCAATAATATCAACTGACATGTGGAGCACAACATCGGCAGAGCTGCCAAACTGAAGCGGAATCAAAACGCATGCGGAAGGATTGGGAATGTTGAGGTTGTAATAGTCCATGGTCCCCTTCCGTGTGGCCACCAGGAGCCAGCGCCCACCCGGAACGAGGTAAAGTGCACGATGAACGTCATCATCGATTTGCAGCCCGCGATCACACTGTGGTATTTGGACATCTGAGGTCCAGCCGATTTCTGTGCGGCGCCAGCGGGAGACGATGTTCTCGAGTTCAATCGACGAGTATTCAACGACGGGCTGTTCCAGGTGAAACCGGTTGGCCCGATACTGGTGTTTGTGGCATGGAAATTACAAATAAAAGAAAAAGAAAAGAAAAATCAAAAAAGGAAAGAAGAGGAAAGGGGGAAGCTTGTGACCGCGTTGTGAAATGAGTGTAGGGACGCCTGTCCTACCCCAGTCGATGCAGGAAATGACGATCTTGAGAGGCAAATTACCTTTGGCGGCCCTGCGGGGCCACGTTTGGAAATATCCAGTCATTTCGTCGTGTTTGGCAGGCTGAATACTCGCTTAGGTCGCATCAGTGCGCCTTGCTCACCTTTTTTCTTGCATTTTCATTGGCCAGCGCATGAATACTCGCTTAGATGTCGCCCGCGTGCACCTTGATCATCACAAAATCAAGAAGATAAGATTTCGTCGAGGACAGACATTAGAATGAGGGAGGAGGTCGCAAGTGACAGGAGAATCCTCGATTCTCTGACTGGTACAGCTGAGTTTGAAAAGGGGGGGTGTAGGAAGGCCCAATTGGGAAGGATGGATATAAAGGAAAATATATCTGAGATTTGGGGCTAAAAATAACCTACTATAACTTCATGGTTCAACCAACGTACGGCGTAGTTGTTGTTTGTGCTCACATTACTGTAATTCTATGCCTCCAAAATAATTTGAAATTCATATTTTCATCCTCGTTTCTGAATTCTCAATCAAGAACAATACTAAGTACATATGCTGTGTAGGAATGAACAGTGGCTGAGAAAAGAAAACAGCACAACTTACAAGGGATGACGAGTATACATGGCACCATGGAACCAGCTCTCATTGATATTCCAGCTTGCAGGATTCAGCAAAGATTGTTTCTCTCATCTAGATATTGAACTCATTTTATTTGTGCTCAGCATAAGAATTTTGTTGGGGTTGACTCGGACATGCTGAGAGAGAGTAAAGGTAGTGTTTGGACAGTAGATGTTTTGTGGTGGCGCTTACCTCTCATATAGGACGATTATACATACTTTGGTATCTCGTAGCTTGCTGCTGCAAGTCTGCAAAGAATTCATGTAAGAGGCTCATTGTTTGCACAATATTAATGCTGCCAGTGGGCCAGTGGGCTCCTTGAATAAGAGGTTAGTTGGGTCGAGTTATGTTTGTCAATGCCAATGGGTGCAGAGATTAAGGCAACAAACTCTCCATCGTGTTCTCTCCCAACGTCAACTTGCGCTCCTGGCTGATGAGCACAAACAACACCGAGGGCATGTTTTCAGAGCTAGCAGGGTGCTGTCCTCAGGTGGATAGAGTGAGTGGGCAGCTGTTTCGCACTCGAAGACAGTGCCTACCCAATTTCTAGCCATTCCAATTCGAAGGGGTCTCCTGGCGTCCTCCAACATTGGGGTGCTTCCATCATATGAACTTGTGGAATGGGTGCTATGACAACATTCTGCTGGGTTCTGTGAGGTTAAGTGGGCAGACAAGTTCAACTCAGAGTGCCCAACACTTGACGTGTAGAACTTCCTTCATTATTGTCTGCTGGGCAACAAAGGTTATTTTTAAAGATATCCGTATCATGGTTGTTGAGAAGATAGGAGGCAAGCGACACAAGATGAAGGCGTCGCACTATTTTTAGCTACAGATCTCTGATGTGTTGCCCTTTACATCCATCCTTCCCAATTGGGCATTCTTGCAACACATTCTTTGACAGAAAATCGATCATAGTCATTACCCCCCCTTTTCAAACTCAGCTGTACCAGTCCCTCTATCAAGGTCCTTCAATGCACAACACCTGATAGAGGGAATGGTCACCAGTCTACATACTCTATTGATCAGCTTATTCTCATGCTGCTCCACTGCTAAGCTGCTGCTCAATCTCTCATACAGGAGCATTAGCATTTGTGCTCTTTCTAAATTGCTGCCGAAATTCAATTCACAATCTTGACAATTCTCTGGTCTTGCAGTCTGCAGGCCAAATTTGATGTTCACTCTCTCCTTAACTCGCGGGTACCCATTCTCTTGAATTCGGTGAGCATCTGCATGTGAACTTATAGTTATGTCCTCCAGATGCAATGCCATATAGGTGGAGATTGGGCTAGCAGGACTCCCACTGGAACTCTTGATCGAAAATAATGGAGCTCGAATGGGATGATATCCTGCACATGAGGCATGTATGGAGCACTCTTGTCCCGAGAAGAAACTAATTACTCACTTTCTGCGATCAGATGTGTAAACAATTCTACGAAGCCTTGAAGGAGCGTCCAATCTGGCTGTGCCTCTTCGAAAAGTATTCGCAATCGACTTTGCCAGATATTTTCCTTCTGGACAAGTCTATTCAAAAACATTCGTCTGTACAACCTGAATCCTGAGTCCTTTGCTGGAAGGTGACTGAAGTTTGGTAGACTCTGGATGGCTGTGTGCTACCTCGTCCCCCAAGCCCCTTTGACAAACAGTCCCATGCAACTGTGTTTATGTTTCTCAACATGGACCTGGCAGCAGACGATCTGTTGGATGACAAATCTTTTGCATTCAATCTTGGCTTACTCTTCCTGGGCCATCCCGATTGCAACCTGGAGACAATAAATCCCATGACCACATTCTGACAATACATCCACTGCCAGGTCTGGCACATTACATTCCATGAAC